AATTTTTTATCCAAATCACAAACTAACTAATATCTTCACAAACTATTTTACTCTACCGATGTTGGTTTCAATATGTCAATATTCTTAATAAATGCGCTTGCAACGATGTTTTCAACTTTATGGATTTCACACTTCAAAACAGCAATTTCAAGTGGGAATGTGAATTCCAAGTGAAGCATTGCTCAAAATGACCAAAAAAAATATTGAAGGTTGCTTAGTGTTGGGTCATGGACTGCCTTTTTGCATGATTTAAAACTTTTCTGTATGGCAACTAGAATGTTCCACATGGCTGATATGGTATATTATCATGTTATTCTTTAGTTTGTAATTTTAGTTTATCATGATTTTAATGTTAAAAATTATCTTAATAAGTATTATTAAGTTCTTAACAAGTCTTAATAAATTGAGAAAAGATAATTTATATAAAATTTTGTTGATGTCAAATATTAAGTGATATACAATTCAGGACATTATTCTAATTAAGAATTAAGAGATACGAATTAAATAAGATTTTATTTTCGATTTTTATCTTCGATATGACGATTTATTTGATTTTTATCTTCGATATCATTATAGATATCAAAAACAAAATAAAAGGGTCATAATCTTATGTATAATATAAGAATTACACATAATAACATTTGTAGATTTTAATATTATTAGAATTACACATAATAACAGTGTTAGAATTACACTTTTAAAATATTATTCAAAATATATATAAAAATTATTTTTAATGTTCTATCTAGGATTTTGAAAATTTAATTTGAACATTAATCTGACGAAAAGGAAAACAAACAAAAAATGGTGATTTTATGGGTGATGATGAAAAGCAGGAAGATTTTGACTAAAGGGGAAAGTGGTTGGGTTTTTGTTGGAGACTCGTTCTTGCTCTCATTACGAGGACATAAAATGCACCTTCACAAAGAGTAAACATGGACCTCACACTCTACATCTCTATAAACTACCTAAACTCTGCTATTTGATAAATATTTTTTATATTATAAAACAATTTAAAATATGTAAAAAGCTATTTATCTCATGTAATATGAATGTAATGGACTGAAAAACAAAAAGGTTTAAAAAAGAAAGGAAAGTGTATAAAACATAATATTTGTGGTAAGTAACAACTTGAATTTTAGTTACAAGGTAGGCGATGAAGCTAAGGAAGGTACAGGAATCATGATTGATGTGCATTCTCTCGTCGTTGGTCAAAGTGGTGCTTTCATACCAAAACTCTAACCCAAACAATTAATCATTAGTTGTGAAATAGTTTTTTAAACAATTTTAATAATTCATTTTTACTTTTTTTCATAATTTTAATTTTAAATTACTTTAAATATAAGAAAACAATATCAATAAAACTACAAAATTAATTAATAAAAAATTACAAAAGAATACATTTTATTAATTTAAATTATAAATATTAAAATTATAAATAAAAAAGCTTTTATAATATTTTAAACTAAAAAACTAAAAATTAAAAATTAAAACATTAATTTCTCAACTCAACTCCACTCATTGGGATTAGTACATCCATAATTATAAGGCTTCTACCTACTTTCTCGACTTTTTTATATGATTATTGTACAAATTCATTTTCTTTATTATCACAACATTATTTATTGTAGATTATTTAATAATTTGTATTGATAATTGATATTCATTTAAAAAATTTAATTAACCATTGTTAACGCAACTTGTTTTCAGCTACGTTTGTTTTATCAGTGATACTTAAATTTGATATCTTATTTAAAAGATTTATACTCAATTCTACAAACAATGAGTATTGAAAAGAAAAAAAATGTAATCAATGAAAGTTTGGCTGAGAAGAAAAAAGTCAATGAAGCAGGACATTGATGTAAAATCATTTTATTGCCCAACCTGTCCCACATGTGATAATACAGGTGGCACCTGCTTCAAATTTATTGCTATATTTGTTTTCCAATAATGACCATCATGAATTTCACGCATTTTTTAAATTTAAATTAAAGAAAATATATTTTAAAATTCCAAAAACATGAGTGATTAACTTATATTTTGTTTACCATTGTTGTAACTGTTAGTATAATTTTATTATTAATAAAAAATGTTAAAGAAGATCTTGATTTATTATATTTTGTTTACAGAAGCTTAGACAAAGTGAATTGGAAATTTAACTAAAACATTAATTTTAGTTGGTAGCTTAATTTTTTTATTTAAATTTGAATTTATAAATGTTTGATAAATTTGGTTTTTTATTTTTTATATATTTAAAGATCAATATTTTTTTTACAGCTTGTAGTTTTAAATATTTAATAAAAACTTTTAAAACTAAAATGACATAAATTTAAATTGATATGATACTTTTATTGTAAGAACTAGTGCAATATCAATATCAGAGAATATTCTGTTGTTGTAGATGTAAAAGGCAAAAAAAAATTTGAAGAAAAAAAGCGATTACTTGAAAAAGAAATTACAAATAAAATTAATAATAAAATCATAGTATGCGTAAAAAACAAAAGGTAAATTAATAAGTATTTAAAATTAAAAGAAAATAATAAACGTACGATTTCTCCAACACCCAAAAAAAATACAATATTGACGATATTATTGATTAATGTTTGTAAGTACCAGAAATCTCTATTTTTTTCTAAATTCTATAATTAATATAATTTATTTTAAAAAAATATTAAAAATTAAAAAGATAAAAGAAAAATTCGTTGACTTTTCAAAAACTACAAATAAATTATAATAAAATTAACAACATAATATATATATACCAAAAATAAAACCGCACTACTTTATAAGAATTAAAAATAGAATCTAAAAGTTGATATTATTGCACTCCAACTATTTATGATAAGTAACCAAAATAAATTATATTTGATAGATACTATCGTGCTATATTAGATTCTCACTCAAAGTCACATTCTAAGTTTCTTCTAGAATTATTCTCTCAAAAAGGCTAAGATGAATTTGATCTTCTTGAAGGTGTACACACTATGATGACACAGTTCTATCTATTGATTAACGTAAACACATGGAATATTTCTACACCTTTGATGATATTTTCTGATCTGAATATCTTAATTCAATGTTATGTAATATTTTATTTTGTAAGTTGTAATTTTGAGTCAATAAAGAAGCTTCAAACAAGATGAAGGGAGTGAAACAACAACAACGATGGGGAATTTGAAGTGATGTGGTGTAATCAATTTTACGATAATGGAGATACGTGAGTTTTTTAATTAACAGAGTAAAATTGAAGCAATCAGCATAAAAAAAATATCAAAATAAATAAAACACAAATATTGTAGATAGCGAACAAAACGATATTAAAAAGGTTTATATAATTCAAACGTAGGAAGAAACATTATTAAGTCCGTCTTAATAATATAAACAAACCGATAATCTAGAAACCTCCATTTCAGCTGCATTTAAGTATTGATTTTAAAAAGTGGTTGGTTAATTAGTTTTTAATTTTCGTTAACTATTGGTAGAGGGAAAAACAAGTCTATTTAAAACATATCCGAAAAAACAGCAGAAGAGATAGAAATTATTAGTATTTGGAAATATGTTGGAAGAAAATACATGATAAAGATGATGGCGGAGGAGAGAGTGAGCACATGACATTACTTGCTGCTTGCCGCAACCTTTATGGTACGATTTGTTCACGGAGACCAAGTGGCAACAATAAACAGAATTAACTTCATTATTAAAATATTTATCCAATATTTTAAATTCGAAATCTTTTAAATGAATTAATAATTGAACTACATTGCTTTTTTTCTTTTTTACCTCAAGAACTAGATTTAATTAAAGTTTGGAGTCCGGACATGAGAGAGAGAGAGAGAGAGAGAGAGAGAGGTGGGAGGTGTAAGAAACTGGGCAGAGAAGATGTTGTTGTTGGCATTCTGACCTAAAGCTTGTGTCTTTCTGCTTCGTTGTATCTTCTGCTGTGTAAAAGGGATCCCTTTCTGATTCTTCCGTAAATTTTATCTCAGGAACTAGTGCTAACACTTCACCGACAGATCTCTGTATTCTGGGTATTTTGTCTTGTTTTCTATTTTCCTTTCGTTCAAACAGTTTGTGGATGGTTTCTTCAAATCTGGGTAATTTTTAATTCTACTGGGTCTCTGTTGAAAATGCTGGGGTGAAAAATCATCGGTTTTCAGTTTTTTTTAAGGTTTCGGAAGGAAAATGGTGGGAGTAGAAATGGGGTTATTTTGTTTACAGTGTTTGTGAGAGGCAAATCTCAAAGGATATTGTGGGGTTTGAAGTTTTGATGACTTTTCTTCTGACACTTTTTTTGTGCTTTGCAGATGAAGGTTGGCTTTTGATCCGGCTTGGGAGTCTTGATCGACTTGATTTTAACTCCAAGTGTTAAGAGGTAGTCTCTTCGGTCCTTGGTGTTGACAATAATAGCCAAAGGAAAAGAAAATTGAAAGCTTTCCATTTCTGTACCTGCAAAATTGGCCGGTGAATTGGTGATAGCTTTTCCATATTTATTGTAATTAGTTAGTTTTGTATGCCTATTTGCGATTTCCATATAAAATTCTAAATACGATTTATAGGAATTTCTTTTAGAAATGGTAGACACAAATTGATGGCATTTTTGCTTATGTAATTGCTACCATCTAATCATGATAATGCTATTTTCAGTTATTCTTTTCGATTGTGAATGATAACCAAATATATAGTCTTTGACACGCATGTTACTTCTGGCATTTCACTATCTGCTGTAGAACCCTATTGTCTTAAATTGTTGTCAATACATCTTGCATTAACTTCATGGCCATGGATGCTTAAATTGGAGAATTTGAAAACACTGGTTGATGTCGAGGATAGAGTTTATTTTGTATTTTAGTCTTTAGAGAGTATTTTGGTTGGAAAGATGAAGATCAATAACTGTATTTGCTGAATGGCAGCCGTTTGCACACAGTGGTTGGATATAGTACATCAGAAGTTCACACATGTGATATATATATATGTAATTATTCTTGGGATCCACCTGCAGAATGTCATTCCGTAGCATAGTTCGTGATGTAAGGGATAGTTTCGGGAGCTTGTCTAGGCGTAGTTTTGATGTCAGACTTACGGGTCATCATAGAGGAAAATCTCAAGGATCGGTGCAGGATTTGCATGACCAACCTCTGGTGATTCAAAATAGCCGCTGGGCGAGCTTACCCCCAGAATTACTGTTTGATATCATTAGAAGGCTAGAGGAGAGTGAGAATACATGGCCGTCTCGAAAGCACGTTGTTGCATGTGCTGCAGTTTGCCAGTCTTGGAGGAACATGTGCAAGGAAATTGTTAAGAGCCCAGAGTTCTGTGGCAAACTTACATTCCCCGTGTCCTTGAAGCAGGTTAGCTTCTTTACTTTTTCATAGAAAATTGATTCATTTTTATTAACCAAAATATTACATTTATGAGGTGGTGATGGCAATGATAGTTGATGTTGTCGGCTGAAGCAACACCCTGATTGTTTGCTCCTTTTGCTTTTCAGCCTGGACCACGGGATGGAATCATTCAATGTTTTATCAAAAGAGATAAATCTAATCTAACATACCACCTATTCCTTTGTCTCAGCCCTGGTAAATTTTCTATTTATTCATTTAGTTAATTCTTGGTTTTGTGTAGCTGTATTGATCTGGAGATGCTATACAAGCTCATTAATTTTTGTGCAAATGTTTATTCTGTCTGAATGTGTATAGATCTTTGCATGAATATATGGTTTGAGATCTGTATGAGATGAATCTTGTCATACTGTAATACACTTGAAGAAATTACTTCTAGTTTTAGAGGGTAATTTTGGAAATGTGTTCAAATCAGCCTTCACTCATTGCTCTGTGCATGAAAATCTGTTAGTTCTATGATGATTGGTTTCTCTGTTTATTATTTTCCCATTATGGCTGATTTGAAGAGAAAGGGTCATCTTGTTTGTAGTCAATTAGTTGGGGGCCAACGTCATTTTTGTCGTTTTATATGTGAATTCTCGTGGCTTATGGTCATCATAACCTTATAAAGTTAAGTCATCAATAATTTTATGCAAACAGCTAAATACTTTATTTTTTAAATAAGGTGGATAACGTTAATCAGTGTTGTTTTATGCATTTTGTTTCTCCTGGTGTTTGTTGGGAAGTTTAACTTTTTTATTTTGACCAGGTGAGAGTGCAAATGGTGTTTGCAGTAATTCTGTCTGGGTCGAAATTTAGTTATTTAGATTTTGAATGCTGCTTTATTCTGTTAAATCAAGATTTTGTTCAACAGTGTTTTAAATTGTTGTCATTCCCACCCATAATTGATTGCTGCCTTGGAATGGCTTGAATCTGTCTGTATATTATGTGGTAATTGGATATCAGTCAAAGTCTGATATTTATTGTCATGTTCTAGTTTGCACAGAAATAATTTCATTTTATTTTCTCATTTACTTTGAGTTTTGCAGCTTTGTTGGTTGAAAATGGAAAATTCCTCCTTTCTGCTAAGAGGACAAGGAGAACAACTTACACTGAGTATGTTATTTCCATGGATGCCGACAACATCTCTAGATCAAGTAACACTTACATCGGAAAGCTGAGGTGAGTTACTGCTGGCAAGTGTTAAACACCTGGAGGGTACTTTATCTCTAACTTTGTTCAAGAAGCCCTTTTTTGGTTCTTTTAAAGAGAACTGTGAAAATATGATTTAAAGTTTAGAATAGGACACCGCATTCTATCTCACTGAAGTATAACGGCAGAATTTGAGATCTTGCTGTAACTTCAGTTGGTGAGAGATGTAAGCATTGTGACCGATATTACCTTATCGAAGAACACTCTTTTCTAATCATCCATTTACAGCAATGGTTTAGATTGTTATCCCATCATTAATTTTTCTCCCCCGTGGGTTTATCCTATTTTGCTTTTCAAAGCCTTACTTTGATGCTCTATTTTATGTCCTTGTCTTCTAACTGGAAAGATTTTGTTTGAATTGCAGATCAAATTTTCTTGGTACAAAATTCATTATATATGATACACAGCCTCCATACTCTTCTGCCCATATATGCCCTCCTGGGACTGGGAAGACGAGCCGCAGATTTTATTCGAAAAAGGTCTCGCCTAAGGTCCCATCTGGAAGTTACAACATAGCTCAGGTAACATATGAATTAAATGTGCTTGGGACTCGAGGCCCACGAAAGATGCACTGCGTCATGCATTCGATACCAGCATCAGCATTGGATGCCGGTGGCACGGTTCCCGGCCAGCCAGAGCTTCTTCCCCGTTCTCTGGAGGACTCTTTTCGGAGCATCTCATTTTCTAAGTCTCTAGATCGCTCTATCGAGTTCAGTAGTTCACGGTTTTCTGAAATTGGAGAATCCTGTATGGAGGACGATGATGGCAAACTGAGACCCTTGGTTCTGAAAAACAAGCCTCCAAGATGGCATGAGCAGTTACAATGTTGGTGCCTTAATTTTCGTGGCCGAGTAACCGTTGCATCTGTTAAAAACTTTCAGTTGATCGCTGCCACCCAACCAGCTGCCGGTGCACCTACACCATCTCAACCGGCTCCACCAGAACATGATAAGATCATTCTTCAGTTTGGAAAAGTTGGGAAGGACATGTTCACCATGGATTATCGGTACCCTTTATCTGCATTCCAAGCTTTTGCAATATGCTTGAGCAGCTTTGACACCAAATTGGCTTGTGAATAAGATAAAATGACGATGAAGCAGAAGGGTATTAAGTGAGAGCTAATGAAACAGTGGTGATGGTATCTTTCCCTTTGTTTTTGTTTCCTTTTCCTATTTGCATTATCATATCATGGGAATAGGCAATTGTTGTTACTCAGCTTCTGTATGACTCAATTGTAACCGTAGTGCATCTCTGATGTAATAGGATTTTAGATCATTTTTAACACACAATGTTGCTATGTTTCTTTCTCAGTCGATTCTACCAACAGACCGTCATTTAACATATTTTATGCTCTGCTGCTGTCTGGTACATTATGTTTGGTAATTGAGAGCTACATATAATCTGTCACATGATCCTGTATGTGCCTGTACCTTGTATGGTGGGCACAGAATAGATTGATCTTAAGAGTTGTTGGGGAATCAGGAAAATAATGGTGCACAAGTTGAATTATAGGCATGGGATGTCTCAACTTGGACCCATGCCAATAGTGATATTTCACTTGTTTTTGGAAGATATTGATCATCTCCAACATTTTGTTCAACTAATTATTGTACAAACAAGTGACCGTGTCAGACATCACTTCAATTTCTTCTCCTGAATTAACGTGCTAAGCCAATTCAAATGTCTATTTGAGTTGGCAGAGAATTATGCATTCAGTTTTCATCAAAATTTGCCAAAAAGAAACCTGTTTTTGTTTTACTTATTCTAATTTCTAAATATTTGCATATAAAAGTAATGTGAAAATGTTGTTTTTACTGATTTTATATTTAATATTTAAAGCAGTAGATATATAGTATGGCTTATGTAGCATTTTACTTTATGTCTACAATAATTTATGGATTTCTTGGTTCTGGTCGTTTTTATAATTTTTATTCTTGTAAAATATTTTTCGTTTTCATTTTCAACAGTTATTTATACATAAAATTCTGAACTTTTAGCTAAAATTTCTTTTGTTCTTGAAGAATTTCATGTATTCTGATAGTGAAATATTTTTACTTCAATTCTTGTTTGATAAATAGTATCATTTTGTACTCGTGAATTAAAATGAAAAAAAAAAAACTTAAGCAAGAATATTCTCTTAAGACTTTTTTTAATATTGCATTATTGTAAAATATCTATTAATTTTGTTGGTGATTAATCTTTATTGAAGAATTTGACCAAATATTTTGAAAGATAGTTTTTTAGATTCACTTATTTAAAAAGATTAAGTTAAAAAAATAGAATTTTATTTTAATATTAAAATTTAAAAAAAAATCCAACTACTTCGAGATGAGTATTTTTTTTAATTTAGAATAATTTGATTTTAATTTAATAATTTAAAACAATATTTTAGCTTAATTATTATATTACAAGAAAATAACTATCAAATACATAATAAATTCAATTCATAAGTCCATGAAATTTTTATTCTTAAATTAAAAAAAATAATTTTATTATATTATGAAGACCGACATTATTTCCATTATTTTTTAAGACGTTACGAATATATTAATTATGCTATGTAATATTTTTCATTACTTATATTAACAATAATGATTAAACAAAAAAGTGATAACATTATGAAAATTTTGATAGAAAATATAAATGCATAAGTAATGGTTATTTTATTTTAGTGTGATGGAATGGTTAAGTTGGAATAACTTTTGATTAGTGTTGAATTATAGCATGGTATTTGGAAAATGAGGTAGAAGAGATAAGGGACATATTTGTTGGAAGTCAACGAGACATGTTAAGGCAGATTGAAAAGAGGAAATCTATGTAAAAGTCAAACAATTATTAGCCACCAATAAAGGATCTTAATTTATTTAAAGCACTCAAATTTTACTTTGATTTATTATTATATTTTATTTTGGTAAAATGCACCCTATTCAACTCAAATGTCCAAATACTAATGCACCAAAAAACCTCACCACCTACAACAAAAAAACATTTTAAACTAATATACCTATTGCACAACAAAAACTAAACATTTTCAAAGTAGTTTTAAAAATTGAATGAAGTCATGAAAATTAAAAATAATTTTTTTCAGAAATTAATATGAAAGTATTTATACATAAAAGTAGGTTTAATTTATGGATTTTTTACGTTTTCCTTAAAAATAATTTTAATAAAGTTTACCAATTCGTACATTTTATCTACTTGGCTACCAAAATGAGCCTAAATTTTTTTATTTGAAGTAGCAAGAAAATTATATATTGCATTCTCTTTTTTCCCCACAGAAAAATAGTGTTTTTAATTCTCATTGCATTAATTTTTCTTCCTTCAATAGGCATCAAAAACGAGGAGTTTGTGAATTCGCCATTTCCAATTGCCAATGCTATACGCTTCCTTGCCTTATCTGTTACCTCTTCAACCTCCCAACTTCCTGCTTTTCTTTGGTTTTTCGGTATTGTGCGTTCCTGAAACCTGATTTTAACCTCAAAGGTACTTCATTTCTTGTGTTTTTCTTTTGCTTCCTTGCATGGTGTTCCTGCATTTTATCTCTGATGTTTTATTGTGTGGTGTTTGGAACATAATTGTATCTGGGTATTAGGAAATTAACAGGATTAGCCTCGGGTGGGATGTTTAGTTTCATTCTTGTTTGTGATGTTGCTCTCTTTTCAGTGAGTTTGAAACTGAAGGAGATCAAAGTGATATGATTGAAATTGTGAGTTTTGAATTTTGATTTCTATTCCACAATCTATATTTGATTGTTTTGTTTGCTTAAAGGGATAATTTGATCATTTTAAGGCTTAACTAGCAGTTTCAATGTTAATTATGCTGAATTTTTGTAGCTTTTTTTACTCCTTGGAGACAGTTACTTGGGATGCAAATTGAAGCAAGGAATGTCAATGCAGTATTTCTTTATGGGTTCAATGTGATCTGTGGTGTTTCTTCACTGTTCTTGAGGTCTTTGGAAAGAATTTTTGTGAAGAGTTGTGACTTTGACAATGTCCTCTACTCATAATCATAGCCCTTCACAAATTTCCTCCTTTGGCCGCTCCATATATCGTCTCAGGCAAGAACAGGTTCATTCTTTGGAGGAGAATCACAGATCCAGTACCCGGGATTCGGAGCTTGAATCGTTCCAAAAGCAGGTTACTAATCGATTTGAGGACCTATCCAGGGTTAGTGATGATGAATTGCTCTCAATTGATTGGATACAGGAGCTCCTGAATGCATTTATCTGCTGCCATGAGGAATTCAGAGCTATTCTGTTGAACAATAAAGAGCAACTCTCGAATTCCCCTCTGGACCGATCAATCTCTGAATTCTTCGAGAGGTTGGTAAAGGCACTTGACATTTGTAATGCAAGCCGCAACGGGATTGAGAAGATTCGTGTGTGGCTAAAGCATTTGGAAATAGTCTTGTGTGCCTTGGGTTCAAATCAGAGAGCATTGAGTGAAGGCCAAGTCCTGAGGGCCAGAAAGGCACTGATGGATTTGGCACTGGCAATGCTGGATGAGAAAGATTGTAAGTCAGTTTTCACTCAGCGTAACAGGTCTTTTGGACGGCATAACACGAGTAAGGATTTTCGCCGCCACATGACAGCGCATTCTCGATCACATTCATGGAGTGTATCAAGATCCTGGTCTGCAGCCAAGCAACTGCATTCCATTGCAAGCAACTTGGTTCCCCCTCGTGGGAATGAAATTGTTGCAACAAATGGGCTTGCAATTCCTGTTTATACCATGAATTCTGTTTTATTGTTTGTTTTGTGGGCTCTTGTTGCAGCTTTTCCTTGCCAGGATAGGGGTCTCAATATTCAGATGTCGGTTCCACGGCAATTGTCATGGGGCGTCCCAGTTACTTCACTTCATGACCGGATCAAGAAGCTCGAACGCAGAAGCTCAAATGGTTTGCTGAAGGAGATAAATCAAGTAGAAAGTTGTGTCCGGAACATGAGTGACTTGGTAGATTCAGTTCAGTTTCCATTGACAGATGAGCAGAAAATGGAAGTTGAGGAGAGGCTGAAAGAGCTAAGTCTTGTTTGTGGAGCCTTAAGAGATGGATTGGATCCATTAGAGCGCCAAGTGAGGGAGGTGTTCCGGAAGATCATGACTTGCCGAGCTGAGGGACTTGATTACATAGGCTAGTTAAGTTATGTATGCATGCAGATGCAGTGCAATGAAATTGTTGCATGCAGATGCAGTGCAATGATATTGTTGCATGCAGAGTATCATTGATCATCAAATGTACATTTTACTTCTTACCACCATTTTGGAAGGAGGAAGAGTGATCGGAAAACAAATCAACCTTTCTTGCAAGGGATTGTATTTTTATGTCAATACTTGTGTAAAATAATGATGCTATGATTATTTGTATATTTCTGATTTCTTTGCTCAATCACACACACCAAATGCTTCCTATGGACTGTTGTCTGAGTAAATTGTTTCTGCTACGATTCAATAAATAGAAAGCAAATATGTGAGGCTACACCTACTAGGAGCTTTATTGTTGTGATGCTGTTAATTTTTTCTTTTTTCCTTAAGCTTAACTATATTTCAATCCTCTTAGTTTGGATTACATGTATTTCTAATCTTTGGAATTTGCTTTGAGCTAATTAAGTTAATCTATATTTTAAATTAAACAAATTTGATCTATTAATTGAGTTTCTTATTTACCAAAAGCCTTATTAATCAACAAATTCTCATTTTAACCAATTTTATTAAATTAATTGATTAATTTATTTTAGACTTTTAATTTAGACGTGATCAACCAAAATGTTAAATTTTAAGTATGTTTGAGGTTCTTGTAAATATCATGAATTTTGTTTATAGATCTGGGAAAATAAAATAAAATTTGAAAGATTAGAAAGGAAGAAAATTGTTGAGAGGACTACATTAATTTAACATTACAAATAAAAATGAATTATTCCAAGAAAACTTAAAAGACCAAGTTTATACAACTAACAGAATGAAATGTATAAGTAATATCTTGATTCTACAATATTTACTTTTGATACAAAAGTTGTGCATGATTGTACTGATATTTTTCTACAAAGTGTTGTTGGTTAGCAACTTCATATATTTTAACAATTGAGCAGAAAATGTGCGGTGGTGTCCAGATTTTTTTTTTTGTCGCCATTAACAAGTCCAGCAAGAAAATTTAGAAGTGGAGGACAATTCTTCTTTTCTCTGTTGGGTGATGATGAATTGTTGAAAACTGAAGCAAGAGGGAAGAATGATTTGACCTTTTTTGGCCTTTTATGAACGTCCAATATAATGTTTGTAGAATGAAAGACAAATTAACGGTAAGCAACCGCAAATTAAGGCAGTTGAGAGAATCAAACTCTAAAGTGAGATGAAAAAAATAAGCATCAGAGTTAGCCCGTAGACAACGGCAAAATTTTAGGCATCAAAACAGCAGACACGACACTGGACCAGTCCCAGTGTAAAGTGTATAAAAGAGATAATTTTGACTTTCAAAAGAAAATTCTTTGAATTCCAATGATCCGTATACAAAATCTTGCCTATGTTCCTAATCCTACACATGCTGTTGGTTGTGCATGCCAATTCCAATGCAAAAAATAATTGCATTGCCATCTAATGAGTGGGATGATCACAATGCAGTATTCACAATCAATCTATTCACTGAGTTGTGGAAGTCCTGTGTCATGCAAATTCTCTGGGTATACTATTACTAACAAAATAGCTCTGGAAAAGACCACAATATGAACTTGACAAAAATGTCACACTCCAAAAATTCAATATGAGCAGCTCGTCCAATAAGTGTGTTGAAGCTCCTCTTGCCATAGTAGGAGGTTCCGAAGTTAATGTCACAGCGCATGACAACACGATGATCAGAGTTAGTTCTCATTTGGTCCAGGCAATTATTTAACATCTCCAGAAACACTTTTCCCTGTTTAGAAAAGTCCAACGTAGCTGCTGGACACAGTTCTATTCTGGCAGAATGATATGGAACATAACCATCCTGGCATGTAAGGTGCACAAAAAACATTATATGATAAGGCTTGAGATAAGCACAAGCTATGATAATAAGTTCTGTAATAAGCATATGAAGGATGTGTTACCTGAGGTGAGGATAAAAGAACTACATTCTTGAAGTTTGTCAGTGTTTTCTTCTGTAATACAAGATAATGAACAGTATTATATTTTGACAACCAAAAGCTCATAAAAATAGAAAACATATCCCTAGCTCTAATCCTGAATTGAACAGAAAGCTTCAGATGACCACCTTTCTGCAGCCTTCCCTTCTAATTCCCACTCCAAACCCCAAAAACCCTCATAATATTTAGAGATCAGTGATGAGAGAGAAATAAATAAGGCAAGGTATATGAACTCAATACCTTTGAGAGATTGTAGATGAAGGTGTTCTCAAGATCATGAGCATCAGTGAAAGTTAGTTGGTGGATGCATTGTGTGCCCTTGATCTTCTTCAAGAGCCACAATCCTGAATTGAATAGAGAATTCGAACTATACATATAACCCAAGTGCGGACCAGATATAGAAACATATGTATACAAATATCTTAGATATGGCTCCATGATACTTTCTGAAATTAAAAGCAAAAGAAGGCACGTTAACTTCCTAGTTTAAATTCTGACGGGTATTATTCTTCATTCCTTCAAAAACTCTGTAAATACCTGCCAAAGCAGCTCTGACGATGAGATTCCCAATAGAATGACCAACAAAGCTAAGCTTAATATCCTTGAAGTTTCCAACTCTTGAACCTCTATCCATCTTCTTTTTCAGAAAAGAGGTCACTTCCTGAGCAAGCCGTAATCCCATTTCTCTAAAGTCTCCAGATGTTTTGTCTTCGTTTGACTCTGACATAAGAACCTGTATTTTGGGGTCTAATAAAAGCCACTGGTTCCGAATAAGACGTAAATCTAAATGATGTCCCTGTTTGTTTGAGTGGCAAAGGGTGTACTTAGTCAGATGATTCATTCAAAACAAGTACAACCATTAAACAAGGAATTTCATAAACTTCTATTAATGGTAAAAAGACAAAACAGAATACCAAACTAACTCAGGCTAGTGTAAGAAGTAAAAGACAAGATCATTAAAGCAAACACCTATAACCAGAGTAAATAAGGAAGTTCTATTGCATGTCTCCACGCTTCTCTTTGAATGCCTGATCTAAGTTAGATATTAGTCATGAATTTTGAAAACTGGGGATTGATTGATTGAATATATACTTGAATAAACAAGGTCAACAGTCAAATTGTTACCATGGTTAGCAGAGAGGCTGCTACAGCTTTCATATAAAAATAGTTTTCTTTCTTAATTTAGTAGTTTGTTACCACTGAGTAAAATGAAATCAGGAAAGAACTGTGAAATTAAGGAGTAAAGCGACTGCAAGAATGTGAAACATGCCTGAAACCCGTGAACAAAAACAACTACTCTCAAAACATGTTCATTTTGTTGTAAGTTATTCCCAGGCAACTTGATTATGTCTCTAGATCCATTTTCCAGGATATGACTATCTTTGTCCTCAAAAGGAAGGAAATATGACTTCACACTGGCAGAACGGTACATGTTCTCCAAGCGTTCTACAATAATAATAGGAACACGCATAGGATCATCATATATATACATGTCTTGAAGTGATCGATTGTTGATCTGCATGGAAATCATACGACAAAGAAAGCAAATCATCAGGAAAAACAAAAATTGTAATCAGAAACACCTATATGTAAACAACCACTTGCCTTCATTTGTGCTATACCACGTCTATGAAGTTCGGCTCGCATTGTTGCAGTCTGAATGGGCTGAAAAGGAAAAGAGATAACATTTTTGAAGAATTTGTTAAGCCAATTTACATGAAGACAATAAATGATTAATTTCAAACTCGGCAGATAATTTATGAAGTTATGGATCATATATAATGTAAACTGTATAACTACATCATCATTAAATCTCCTTGTATTTGACGATCTACCACGTAAGCTACGGTACAATGATGTCCCTTCAACTCCATTACTCATGTACTGGTGAGGCATATCAACCTTGGAATACATCATCCATATTGACCACTCATTTCTTCGATCATTAGCCCATGAGTTCCGGAGAAATTCCAGTATCTTTGTTTTATTTTCCCTGATGAAGCAATGAGAATAAAATCCAAGAGAAAAACCATGTCATTAGAGATCGCTTAATATTATGCTCGTAGATATTTATCTGAGTGTATCTTTTCTCATAAAATACATAACAACCTTAATGTTACTGGGAAATGCTAACAACACATGTTTAGAATAACTAAAAGCCTGTAGATCAGGCTCCTGTATGCCTAATTATATTATGCCAAAATGAACACAGAAAGCAGCCTTTTCCAGATACCATAATGGTCATAACGGATACACAGACACTGCAGCATTAATTTATTGAAAATGACCTCTACAGTTGCTAAACTCATAATTATTTGAATGTGTGATTACTACACAAATAAATTTGAGTGTACCTGTGGAATTTCAGAAATGTATTCCAGAGGCATAAGAGCTGGTTTCCAATAGACTCGAAGGAGTATAGCATATCATCCCAAAACTATTGAAGGTAAGAAGAAAATATTTAGTGAGCAAAAAATTTAAAACATTAAGAAGGCATAACAAAAATGAAGCATTCACTTTGCCAGAATTAAGAACCTCAGCTTGTGTCCCATCAGGTACTTGAAGTGATGTCTCATCAGCAGTACTTTTTTCATGAGCAGGAGAAGGAGAATTTAACGACTTAGTAACATCTGATTCAAAAGTAAGTCCACCCAAGTCAATAGCTTGGTTAATTCCTCTGCTTATTCTTAATAGGTCATCAAGCAGGATATCATGTGCAGCCATCAATGCTTTGATCAGCGCAGCCTGGTTTGAAAGAATGAGATACAAGGGTAAGCAGATATATATTAAGATAAAAATTGTAAGAAATTAAGAATCTTAGCCAGTACTGTAAATCACATTTACAATATCAACTTAAACACTTTAATGAAGCAAGGAGCGCAGCTATGAAGTTATAAAAGATTTTCTGTCGTAACTGAACACACCTTGTTTGTTCTAAGGTAGTCTTCACGGCATGTTCCTTTAGAAGCCAAAGAATTACTGGTACAATTAAATTAAAATTTTTCAGAACAGAATTATGTAACTATCTAACAGATGTTATGGCAATGCAATGGTGACTAATTGAACCAATAAAATATGTATTCTGACAAACCTTGGTACCTTCAGTTGTGGTGTAAGATAACCAGATTTTAGTAGACTGATATGAACACTAGTATCAACAAGGACAGTGTGGAAAACATCAAAATATACAGGACAGTATGAATGCAATCCCGAAAGAGCTTTAGGAGGGATTCTATACTCATGAACTGAAGCTGCACAAGCATCCAATGAACTTTGTAACTCAGGCCTGCTCAATTACATAAACATTTTTAGAAGTCAGAACCTCTAATCATCATCATCACCAGTCCAGTTCAATCAGTATCCCATAACTTTTCTCAATAAACAGAACAGGAGAAAGAGTATCATTAACTAACCCCATTTCAGGTGTTGGAGTGTGAAAGAGCTCAAACTTCAAGATAACAGCAGAAGATTTCCCCTGTGATAAAAATAATCGTCAGCAAAGATATTTGTTATAGAAGAATAAAAAAAAACTAGGTGCTACTTCAAATCATGAATAAGCCACAACAGATTTACTTTTTTATATATTATCAAAAGGACAGAAGTACAATTGAGAGAAGGACCTAAAATGAAATGAAAAGAAAACAACAAATAAATAGTACAATAAAGTTGTAAAGTTTCTTTGCTAATTTGTTATAAAAATTCTCTTGAAAAATTTTCCTTTGAAGATGATCATATCCAATAATGAAGGGTAAAAATACACCCTTAAAAAGGTCCTTTACAACCAAATGGTCCACAGAATTGCATGGCTTTTGATTTTACAACTCAAGATCTCTGGATTTGAGGAAAATTTTTTTCTGTTTTACAATATATATAATTATTGCTTCTGCCATCAACTTTGAAGGTAACTATCATAGAATATCAGGGTAATTTAGCTAAAACTTGATGTCAGATTACCTGCATCTAGGTATACAGGTTTGATAAAAAACTTTAGAAAGATAAACACACATAATAGTCAGTCCATGTTTATGTACTGATTTTGACACAAATAAATATATCAATACATTAAATTTGTCATCTGTCTAAGATCAAGATCATGTATGTCTTTAACCTTTAATGAGAGATATTTGTTTCTGTCCTTTCCTGTAGTTATTTGTCACAAATTATTATTCAGAAATTCATTATACGGTCTGAAACCAGATAGGTTCTACTTCTTTCGAGAAATTTTAAAATCTACTAGGAGTTGAAAGCACAGTAAGTTTGGTCATTTTCAGCAACATTGTTATATTGATCATACAGAAATATTTGACCTAGTCAGATAACTAAAACAAAAAGCTCATCCTCCATTGCCTATGTATACTACAGGTTATGGTTTGTACGGGGAAAAAAAAAAAAAAACAGAAATTTGAGGTTACCTTATTTCCTTCATAAGATAGATAGAATGAGATCATTATAGAAAGAAATACATCCTGCCTCGCATATCTAATCCGGAATGATGGTGTTGAAAAACTGTTATCTTTATCATTAATCATCCAAACTCCACAAAAATTGTCAGCATTAATTTCAGGAGCTGCAGCCGAAAGAAAAGATAGATTCAAAGATTTTACCCAGTCGAAGAAAATATTGTGCAAGAGGGCAAACTAACTGGGCAAAATAGAAAATGCCCAGCATATCCAGCATGCTAGAGCTAATGTCTAACAAAAACAAAGAGTAAGGCAGTTCAAAATAGTGGGCATAAAGAATTTGAGAACATATCTCAGTCAAGAATAATAAGAGGTTGAATACAAAATACACAGACACCAGAATCCACATTCCACATTTGTTTTGCGCACAGATATCCTTGTCACTAGCTGACAACTTATCGCATAAAATGAACAACATTGCCAAAATCATTCTGGGAATAAAAAGAATAAATTTGGAATAGTTAAATAAAAATTAAGATAAGCTCAACAAATCAGACCTTGGTTGCTCAAATAGTAAAAATAAAAAAGAGAATGAAAGAAACACATAAAAATTCTTTTGTAAGTAGCTGAAAAAAAAGGCATAAACAAGTTAATAACAATTTGTCACTCATTGATATAATCTTTCTTCAAAAATTAAAACCTAATTATAGAAACTTCTGTCATTTGTTTCCAAACTAAATAATAGATTTCCCCAACATCAGCATAGCATTGTGAATGAGACACACACCATTCAGCAAGACAATCAGATTAACACACTCATCAGTCATCACAACTTACAACTTTGGTGTAAAACCGGAAACAGAGCTACTTGAAACATAAAAACAGTAGTTCCATGTTAGAAAATGTTTGTGGGGAAATCCCAAACACACCCACCAAAAAGGAGACCTTGACATCATGGGCACAATATTTCAGGACCAAAAACTTTTTGTTTCGCCAAACTAAATAGATTGTTACAGCAAACCTAAAGTCAACAACTGCAAAATCCTTATCCTATCAAGTAAGGTCAGCCACATGAATAGCCCCCAACGGGCTGATTAAATACCAAATTCTCAAACTGAATTACATAAGTGCAATTGAACACTAACACATAAAAATATTAGGAATATATTTCACCTTCGCATTGAACAACCCGTGCAGGAATCCCGGGATAAGAGTCATCATCGTCCTCCCATCTCATAGTAACCTTGATTCTATACCATCTACACAACAATAACAAGAATAACATGTAAAAAGAAGTTTTTAAATGTACATAAAACAAAACCACACGAATAGCAGAAATTAAAGCTTACCCTTGTTCGAAAAGGTCGAGATTGTGAAACCTATGAATGTAAACGGCAACTTCGTGAACAGCATCCAGCATGTGGAGTTGATGACTTGGCCTAACAGAGGAAGATTGGTGGGCATTGAGCAACCTTTTGGTTGACAAATTGGTTTGATTCAAACCCACAAACCATCCTAGTCTACGAAACATATGTAGTGTGTAGTGCTAGCAGACACAGTAATACTAAATGCCCAAATGATCATCACTTAGAATTTCAATGGAAGTTGAGCAAAACCCATAAGTTGTGAATAAAAAAGAAACAACTTTGTTATCCCACCTTCAGTTCTTCCAAACTTTACATGAAAAAGTTCAAGGTTGACAAGAGAATTGCAATGTCTGGGCTGAGGGAATTGATCAGTTAGAGTTAGGAAAAGATGGGATGAAAGTGGAAAAGGGGAATGGAGTGTAGGCGTGGAAACAACAAGAAGAAAGACATAGTAATGGCAATTGTTTTGTGTTGGATTAATATTAAAAACAATAATGAATGGTTTTGATTGACAGTGGGAGCACAAGTTATGGACCAAAAACCATCAATTTTGTCAACCCTTCATGGCAGGTGTGTTTTGCTCTTCTTTAATCCAAAAAAAAACAAAAAAAGGTAACTTTGAAAATAGCACCAACGCATGTTGTCGTGTCGGTGCTGACACATCTTATTTCTCCTTTTTGCTTCATTCCGGACATTTCAACTGTGCAGGTCGAAATTCACGGGCAGTTTCCTCCTTAATTTCTACTGTTACTTTACTCAATCTTACACTGTTTTTCTGTTAATGTTGTGAGTATCATTGTTATTTTTGGAGATATTATCTCATCAAATATGTCATTTATTATATAATTATATTAGATTTCATTTTTTTATGCATACATATCCAGTTTTATTGAACCATGATGTAAATAACTTTATCTTTTCAATTATTTGATAGTTTATTTTTTTATAAAATTTTAAAACTTTGGCCTTTTAATAAGATGTGATTGTGATATGGATAACTTAAGAAAAATATTTATTATTTATTAAATTTAATTTATATGTACCACTTTAGAAATATATAATTTTTATTTTCCTCACTTTTTACTAATATAAAAGTTACATATATCCGTATTATATATATATTCCGTTTTTTATACCTTTGTTTGATATAATTGCTGAAGATATTTTCGTTAAATATATTATTTGTCATATGATGGTTGTTGAATTTATTATGATAATATAGAGGTTTTTTTATTATAAAAAATGTTATTTACTAATTAATAAATTATTTAAAATATATTTTCAAATTAATATTCAAACATATTTTTATATATGTTATTTTTATTAGATGATGATATAAATAATTAATATTTTAAAATATTTAAGTATTTTTTATATTATTTGATGACTTGAATTTTCTGAAAAATTAAAAATTGACATTTTGAAAAAACATGTTAATGTGATATAGATAATCTATTTTATTTTATTCATACACATTACTTGTAAATATAGAATCCTTCTTTTCTTTTTCTTTTTTTAACTAATTTATTTTATATTCTTCCAAATTCAAAATATTGAATCCATCATCATCATTATTATTATTATTATTATTATTATTATTATTATTATTATTATTATTGATATTTTTTTTCAAGGATTTCTAGTTGCTATGAAAAAATATAAGAGGTTGTGTTGATTAGTCTTGTTTCCACTTTTTTATATAATTATATTTATTGTCTGTTAATATTTTCAATGTGGGTTACTTTTGTTATTTTCATTTGATTATTTAAAATTAATTTTAAATAATAACAAACTAGTTCAGAAGTATAGTTTTAACAAAATACTTAAATGCTATCTTTTTCCAATGTCATCTTCATTTTATTTTATTTTAAATATAAAAATTTATCAGTGTTTTAAAATGATTTTCTTCTAATAGTATTATTCTTATTGTTTTATTTTATATAAAATTATAAGAAACAAAAATTCAATGTTTATTTATATTAATTTTTTAAAAAGTTCTTGCAAATATTAATAAGATATAAAAGTTACACACATTTGTATTTGATATTAAAGGTTTATTTAAATTATATAATTTTATGTTTACATTAGTTTTTTTAAAATGTATTTAAATGTTGTCTTCTTTTTTCATATTTGGTTTTAATATATTTTTTTATTTTGGTCTCTCTAATTTGAAAAAAATATCCTTTATCATTTTAATTGTTATTATGCATTATATAAATAACTTTGAAGATAAAAATAATACATTTCAAAATTATAGAAAATAAAATAGTTTAAAAAAATGTGGGGTTAAAACTAAATTTTAATTTCTCACAATGATTTAAATATATTAATTTTTTTATATATTTTTATTAAGATATTAGTTTTATTCAGGTGATATTATGAAAAATGAATAAAAAAGTGATGTCAAAGTGTTAATTGATTAATCTCCTTACGTTATTAAAAAGTAATTAATAAAATTTTATAATCATAAAAGGCTTGGATTTATTTTTAAAGCATAGAATCATAACTTCTAACAAGATATAATTCATACTATAAATATAAAAACCGTAACAAAACATTTGTTTTCATCTTTGTTTTAATTTCAAAATAAAAATATCATCATATTACATAATAATACACTTCTTATATGATCAAATGAAAAAAAAATTCATGATCATTAACTACTTTTATATTATAATTAATACTTCATGTATTTGTTAATATTTGTATGAAAATCTCAAATATAAAAAAAAGTTGTATTTGTTAAATATTAAATATTTTAAACGACTAGATCAGTTTGATCAAATCTTGTTGGATTAACAAAAAAACTATATTAAATTTATGTTTTTAAATAATCAATTTTTTAGTTTATGTTTGCCTCACATATGTATCAATGAGTTAATAGATATTTTGATATAATTAAGTAACAAAATTATTTTATATATATATATATATATATATATATATATATATTTAAACTATATTAAAAAATAATTTATTTTTAGAAAATATAAATATAATAAAATAATATTATTAATAATATTTTAAAAATATAAGTATTATTTTTAAATAAACTTACTTATAAACATACCATTTGATAAAGAGTACTATTCAAGTAAAAATATTTATTTATACATTTATAAGAAAAATATAGACACTATTGAATTTGTATTTTTATTGTTTTATTTTCTTTAACTTATTAAGTTTAATTTGATATATTTACAATAACTAAATTATTATATATTCACATATATTAATTTAAAAAAAGAGATATATAAATATAAAACAAAACAAAAAATAGTATATAATAGTTATTAGCATAATAAATTTTAAAATTATAATTGTTTTACGGCTAGATATATTAATGTAAATAAATTTTTATAAAAATTTAAAATTAGAGATATTATGATTACTTTATTTTAAACGGATTATGAAATAAATAAATATAAGAATGTTTATAGATAAAAAATTGGTATTGACTTTATATATTCTTATAAATAAAAGTATTATCCTGTTAAACTTTTTAACTAACATATTTTGTTTTTTTATTTATTTATCATTTTCAAAGTTGAAAATAATAAATATATCCTTATCTTCTATTTAATTACTATATTTTTTATTCTAATGTATAAATGAGAAATGTTAAATATGAATTCTCCTCGCTAATTTGTTAAGAATAATAAGGAAATTTTTTATTTTCTACTAAAAAAACACTAAAACATATAAATAAACAAGGGAGTAATTAATAACATTATGTGTAATGTTAATAAATATAATTAATGTAATTATTTTTTATCAAACATTATTAAAATCATTAAATTTAATTATATTCAACTAGTATAAAGTTGTTATTTATTTATAATATCATTTATCTATAACATAATTTTAATTTACAATAATTCCCAACAATGTTATCATTATATGTTCCAAATTTTTCTATAATATAGTTAACTATTATTTATCTATACTATTAATATTAATATTATCACAATCCAGTTTTCACATAAATTGTCGAAAATTTAGATTAATTTTAAGAAACATTAATATTTTCTATAATAGTATTTTTTTTGTAGTAATACTAATACTGATATATATATATATATATATATATATATATATATATATATATATATATATATATATATGTGTGTGTGTGTGTGTTAAAAAAAATGTTATGATAATTATTTTTTTCCAATATTAATTAATGTTTTAATCAAACTGAGATAATCAACATTACTTAAATGCTTTGAATAAAACATTAGTTTCTTAAATTAAAATAATACATTAATATACTTGTGTGTGTAAAAATTTAAATACTCGTTATAATATTTATATTTACTAAAAATAGAAATTACATGATTATTATGAAGTTTTGTAAAATTTATAAAAAGACTCGTTCTTTCTAAATATTTATAATAATCTTCCTTATAAAAGTATACAAGTAATTAATATTTTTCAAATAACTAAAAACAATAGCCTCGTGTTTAAAGAGTGTTAATGTTTTAGTTTAATTTTTTTCAAACAATTACGAAGAAACACTTAAAAATATTTATGAATCTCTTAATTATTATCAATTGAAACAAAATAAGATTATAAATGTCGTTCTTCTTGTAATTTACAGTTTAAAGAATAGTGTTATTATTAATATATTGGATTAAAATGATTAGATAGAGCATTCGTAAAAAAATGTGATTCCTTTTAGATTTGAGATTCCCAAATAAATGTCATTTCGATTTATACGTACAATTAATGGCATTTGTGTTTAATGGTTGTGAAATTCTTATATAAAATGAATAAATGTCAAAGAGAAGGTGTTGTATTGATGTATGAAATAAAAAATGAACGTGCGATATCACATTAATCTTAAAATAAAAGTTAGATTAAAAAGTGTGTCAAACCAAAAATGTGTAAGAATCTGATAAAAAATTGTCTTGTATATGGAATGGTAGGTTTTCGAGCAGAGTGGGAGAAAAACACACTCAACTTGCACAAAACATAATTTTGAATAAACAAAGTGGATTAAAATAAAAATGTTTCCAACTTTTGAATTGTGTGTGCCATTAACGTGGAATCGGCAATTATGGTAACAATGTCACACAAAAACAATTTCATTAGTAACATTCATTTCAAATCAATTTGGTTTGTTCCCCCCAGTTTCACATCCGTGTACGGTTAAATTAAATTAAATTAGATTAAATAATATGATTTTATATTTATATGTTGACTTCATGCAATGTAAATTGTAATTAATATCATAATATTTTTAAATTTAAAGTTCATATTCATATATTTCAAAACAGTAACATATAATGATTTTGGCGTATTCATAGTGTTATGCTATAATTAATAAACATCATATTATGCTTTATAAATTAAAAACAACAATAAATATATCACTTTAAAAACAATTTTACCCAAATAGTATTTCTGTTCAAATAAATACACTATTCTGTTTTAAACACATAATAGTTTTATGACAAATTACAAAAAATTGTGATTTATAAATTCCTATGCGAGTGAATAACTAATTAATTTGAAATTTTCTTTAGACAATTAAAACTGCAGTTATTCTCTTTTAAAAAATTAATATGAAACGTTGTAATTGTGTGTCTTCAATGCATTAATTAAAATTAACGTAGCATACATTGATGACTTAAAAATTAAAATAAAAGTAATGTGGCATTTATTAAGGTGACATTATTTATGTTCGTAAGTTGGTCCTTAATTAGCGATGCAAGAAAAAAACATATATATTTTCAATTATTATCAAATCAACATATTTTTATTATCAATCTTTTATATTTTTTATATACTAGTCAGTTTTTAATTTGTTAGTTATTGTTTATATACATTGAAACTTTATTTTCATGCATTAAAATAATAATGTATGTAGCATATCATATGTGTAGTTTTTTTTTATATTTTCATTTTTTTATTACCATAAACATATTATATTTTTAAAATAATTTCTTTACATTATTTATAACTCTAACTAATATAGAAAAAACTATATTCTCTTGTAATAAATTACATATTAGTTATTGTTATGATCTATTTTATTGTCAAAAAATCGATATAAAAAGTGTAAAATTTTATATTTATTTTTTACTCAATGTAGAAAGATTATTTTTTTACAAGTGAGGTGAAAATAAATTTTTCATTATATTCATATATACATTGACCTTAAAATTTATGATGAAACTTTCTACATCAATATAAGAAATATTGAGTATTTTCCTATCGTCAAAATAAACCTAATTATTTTGACAAGAAATCATTCAAAACACAATGAGAATAAACTTGTTAATGTTATGCATATAAAAAATCAAAGGGGTTTATTAAGAATATTTATTGATCGATTATTAATAAAATAATTTTGCTTATAACAAAATTAGCAAGATTTGTTTGAAGTTTACACGATTAACCTATCCTATGTCTACCATATACTTGAAACCAAAAATTGGATGGATTTTCATAATGAATCACGGGATTCTTAAATCTTTTGTTATTTTTGAAGACTACGAGGGAAGAAACAAATATTAGTGATACGGTTAGTTGGTTACACGCTTCAAGGTAAAGAAGGCAATGGAAACAAAAATTTGATCTTTATATTACATGATGATTTCGGTGGGGTTCTAAAATGTTATGCCACAGCGCTAGCTAGACACTACTCTATGCTATCATTTTAATGTTGTGGTTGTGGCTTTAATTTTGAATTTATTTTAAAACGTGTGCATGAAATAAAATTACAAAGATCGCAAGTGTTTCTTTCGTCCAACCAAAAGCAACACCGGAACACTGAAAACCACCAGTGTCATTGTGAAAAAACCACAATTTTTACTTCGTGAATTAGGGAAGTTTCATCCTACAATTGAATTTCTACTAATTACCTAACTCAATAAAACCACTAAGCTCCTAAATCTTCAAACTGCTTCTTTTGCCACTGTTACAGAATTGTTCTGTTTTCTAATGCATTGGGCAAAGCAAACAATCCTACATTTGTTAAAAATTTTAGACAAAGATTCTATGACTAACATTCAAAAATGCATTTCATTTTTGGATAACATATGCCACGTTTTTTATTATTATTATTATTATTTATTTATTTGGGATTAATTCAACACAGCTGCATACTCTTCAACAGAACAGAGGCTTCCAAGTTTATATTTCTTGACCTAAGAGACTTCACTGCTTCCACACAATATGTTCAGTGATGGGTACCTAATGCCTACCATTTATCCAACAATGTTTAGTGCGAAACATATAATATAAAAAGAAATAAAAGACTTTTTGGTGTTTACAGAGGGATTCATTTAGGAAAGACAATACCAATCAATTACACATGAATCCAACTGATGTAAGGAATATACAACTTTTTCGTTCTTTTAAGATTGCGTGGGTACGTAATAGGTTGCACCAACCAGTGCTAATAAAACATAAATTACATAAATGAATGCAATGCTCTTTCACTGTGTTCAGGGTATGCCAATTTGTAGGAAGGTAGATTCTAATTAATTAACCCAAAGGTAGTTTTAGTGGAAGGACAGTGGTCGATGCAAGATTCCCTGAAAGCAAAACCTTTGCACTTTTTCTGTGGACACTTTTCCTATTGATTTGTGACCCCATATTTTATTTATGCTTTACCTGAGCGTGGAGACCGGTTTGACTGAATTGTTTGGACCAAGATATATAGGAATTTGGAAGGCTATGTATTATACACTCATGTTAAAAACCTTCATGCATATGCATAATATAAATCCATCAAACTTTTTCTCCCTTGTCATCCAGAAATTAGTCTAAAACAAGTAGTAACTCATGACTTAAGATGCTAACTTTTCACCATCATCTGTGTAACTGATGGCGATGTTGTTACGTGTATTTTGACTAACTTTTTTTATCTCCCACTAACACAATGGGATTATATTTGTTAAGAGAATATTAATTTGTTAATTACCATGCAATTAACGTTTATGATTGATCGAACTAAAATATAAATATAATACCATATTGTATGGTTACCCAAGATGACATATACGATCCCGAAATGGAAATTGTAGACGGGCTCAAGTAATCAAAGCAATCCCAATCATTGAGAAAAATCGGATTGAATGAAAATGGCAAAGGAATAGGGGGTGGTGTAGTGAGTTGGTGAGTTCTCCACCAATGAACAAATTACACAGCACGACGTGGTGGCAGTACTTAATCAAGAACAAATAATAACAAATATGTTGATGAGGTATCTTATCTTGTCCTACTCCTACCTATTGCATAACTAGAAGAAATGGAAGGCTTCAAGGGGAAAAAGAACCAGATCCCTCTGACACACGAAAAACCTTCAATTTGCACACCAAAACAGCTAGCTCACACTATGAGACAAAGGACCAACACAATGGCATAGAAAGTGTGTCACATACGAAGAGAAGAGAAGAGAGAACCCAAATCACACTGCTGCTGACGCACCATCCCCATGCTAGGATTGTTAGGATCGAGCGCTTACCACTAGGCCAAAAGCTATAGCCATTAGTCAGAGCGCAACTCTTTTTACTTTAACAGCCCAAGCGCCACGATTCAATTGTGACTCGGCCCACCTGACCTTCGTCACAGGACAATTGATGCTACCTGCAACGCCCCATGCTGATTTGTTTTGGGATACTTTCAATGCATGCACTGTGATCAAAACAAACGTACTTCCCAGGGATTTTCATCTTTGTTCATTAATTTCTTTGCTAATCAACACCTTCCTCACACATGATTCCTCCAATTCTTCATGTACTTCACAATAATTGGTACCAACCAACAGAAACAATATAAGTTAGATAATCTCTAATCAAAGCACAAATAATGACACATGGCAAGAAATTAACGTTACATGTTCAATTCTACCAGAGATAAGCAACAGGGGATTCCGAAATTCTAAAATGTATACACCGAGTATGCATGGCAGGTGTCAGCATGCTATTGACGGGGTTGGTAAGTTTGCATAGTTGTGAAATTTCTCACGTAGAGAAATGAAGTGCCACGAAGGCAAAATGGTTTTTGGCTACGCTACCTACTAAAAAAGATTAACCCCTCATGAAGGCTGAATGACTTGATTACGCAGTAGTAGTGCCACATTCCCCTCGCCAAGAATAAAAATACATGCTTTATGTTATACTTTGACGTATTTGGATGGCTTGTTTTTTGTTTCCATAATTTTCCTTATTTTCTCACCACTCTCCCTTCACGTCGGTTTGTGTATAAATAGGAGGAGTTGCTCAACACATCCTCATTCAGTGTCTGCACGAGATTGAGGGGGTTGCTTTGGAAGAAAACCTGCTAAGGTTTCCTCACAACCCCTAAAACCTTGTGCTTTTGCCCAAATTCTAAAGAGAAACAACTCCAAGAACATAGTATGGCTATCATGGGTGGTCACAATCCTTGGGCAGCCACTTTTGGCATACTAGGTAACCACACACTTACATAATGCTCATCATCATCATCGTGTCTATCTTTCATCACTGGCTCAATTTCTTTCTTTCCTTTTTCTTGTTTCTTGCTAGTATTCATATACTCCAGCTTACTCTATGCTCTTTTAAATGTTCATCTGCATGTGCTGCCTTTTCTTAGTTTTCTGCCTTCTGCTCTCCTAGTGCATTATGCAAATTTTCCATCTTCATGGCATTTAGTGATCATACAATTTTAATTCATGTTTTTCACGTTCATTAATTTCTTACCAATAATTCTTAATATTTTTTTTTTTTTCTCTTTGGGAGTAGTGATTTGGCCCCACTGCTGTAAATGATAGCTGGGTTATTGGTTGATCATAAAATTCATTCCCGCTGATGGTTGTTGAGGAATCTTGTTTTTTTCTTTTCTTTTCTATTTTTAATCATGGAGAATACTGAATTATATCTTCACTCTACACTCTATGGCCCCGTTTCTTCAAGTTAAAAAAAAAAAAAAAAAACTTAACGAAACAACCGTCAAAAAGAATAACAAGTTTTTTTTCCAAATATTCTCATATTAGTACAAATTTTTTAAAAGAAACACACAAACGAATTAGCATAATTCATAATAGAATCATTAATCTGATGAAGAAGAAGAATTAACATGCATATATTCTCCTTTTGATATGCTCAGGTAACATCATTTCCTTGCTGGTGTACCTGGCTCCGGTGTAAGTACATGATTATTTCAATCAACTTTCCTAATTTCGTTCAAACATAATAATATCTGAACCTGATTTGATTTCCCTTACCTGAATTGCAGGCCAACCTTTTACCGGATATACAAAAAGAAATGCACGGAAGGTTTCCAATCGCTGCCATACTTGGTGGCATTATTCAGTTCTTCCCTTTGGTTATACTACGCATCGTTCAACGTTCATCATTCCATTTTCCTTATTACAATCAACTCCTTTGGATGTGTGATAGAAATAATCTACATTGTCATGTACATAAAGTATGCGAATAAGGATGCCAAGGTATATGTGTGTGCCAAAACTTTTCTATCAATTCCGACCTACTAATATGATACTCATGCCAATTTATAATACAGAACCTAACCCTTAAGCTAGCTGCGGCGATGAATTTGGGGTCCTTGGCCTTGGTGTTCTTGGTCATCCATTTCGTTCTACACTCTTCCCTCCAATTCAAAGTCCTTGGATGGATCTGTGATGTCGTTTCACTGAGTGTCTTTGCAGCACCTCTAAGCATTATGGTAAGTCAAATTTTCAATTCAATGAGAAGAAGATGGAGTTAGTTAATCTGCAATCCTCTGACTAATTATCGCTGTGCAGGCACAAGTTATTAGAACAAAGAGTGTACAGTTTATGCCCTTCAGTTTGTCATTTTCCCTCACAATGAATGCCATAATGTGGCTTGCTTATGGTCTCTTTAACAAGGACAATTGCGTTGCCGTAAGTATCTATACTACTGTATAAAAAACTACCAATAACAATGAATGAGATATTAATTTGATTAGTATTGCAGTTGCCAAATGTGGGGGGTGTAGCACTGGGGGTAGTTCAGATGGTGCTGTATGCGATTTACAGGAACGGTGGTGCGAAGGAGCAAGCACTAGAGGGTGTTGTGAAAACCATTGTTGTTGTGAATCCACTGGGGCTCGCAGAAGTGTTCCCAATAGCAGTGGATGATGAGAAAGGGCTTGTAGATATGGTGAATAATCAACAATCACTAGAAAAAAATAAAGAGGAAGATGCACAAGGGAAAAACGTGGAAGCCAACGATTCCCCAGTGTGATACGTATAAATGACACTAGCTATAGCTGTTACTTTGTTATTTTCGACATGGCCCAGGATATGCTTTTCCTCTATCTCAATCATTCTCTCTTCCTTATCTTATGTGTAAACCCTATCAATCAAAATATGCATTAGCTTTACTAATTAATCTCAATATTCCCATTGCCTTTACGAGTTAACGGACAATACTGAATGACAATCAAAGATGGTTTGAAGAAAATCATCTAAAGTCCCAGAAATAAAGCCAACATTTTGTCGTTACCAAAACGTGTATTTAGTTACTATCATACCCTACTTTACCAACCTTTCATGATTGTGCATGAAAAAGAGAAAGATGTTTCCGCTAATAACGTTGCTTTTCTTCTCCTTTTGTTAGTGTTTCAGTTCACGACTTTTAGTATCAAATACGAGGATTCACTCTTTGTCACCAGTTTACTCCCATTTTCTAAACCCTGTTTAAGTTTTTCGTTTTTAATAAAATTTATCATATCATTTCAGTTAATTTCCTTTATATATCGATAAAATTAAAATAAACAAAGAATTGGCATATTATTCTTAAGTTTTACCTTTATACATTTTCAGTGCCAATATACCCATTCTTTAAGAAATTATATATTGCAAATATTCAGTTTTGCGTGCAAAAATCCCTAGTATAAATAATAAGTTTTTTATTTTATTATAATATGATAATGTATACTTTCTTTTAAAAAATTATGATCAAATTTCTTACTTAAATTATAATTATCATTCAAATTAATTGCTGGAATTAAAATATCTATACATTATCATTTTTATTTTTATTTATCATATCAAATATTTTCGTTGTAAAAAATATATACAAAATTATTAAAAAATGTAATTTCTCTCTCTCTCTCTCTCTCTCTCTATATATATATATATATATATATATATATATATATATATATATATATATATATATATATATGAGTGTTTTTTTTATCATTATTGTATTCATAATTTAATTAATGCCGAATCCGAGCCTAAAAGGCTCAATAATGAAGCCCAATAAGTCTTGTCTTGTCCACTTTTGTCAAATTTGGGCTTCAATAGGAGAGATTGGATGGATGAATCCCCAACTTCCGTTTTTTTTTAAAATAAAATAAAAGGACACTCGTCTATTATCGGAAGAGATATGTAGGAGAAAAAGTGTGATTTACTTTTTTTATAGGATCCTCTTATTTGTAAATTTACAAATGGATCACAAGAAGTCTTGTGAGATAATACTAAGGAAATTGAGAATAAAAAATGATAATAAAGAAATAAATCAAAAAAATTAAAGGACATTAATAAGTTAATTCTTATTTAATTAGTTTGAAGTAATAAAAGTTTAAATTATTAATTTCTTTTAATTTTTTAAAATATAATTATTTTATTAAGATAAAATTTGATATATGATAAATAAGAATAATAAGATAAAAAAATATGACATAATAAAACCTAATAAATATAAATTATAAATAAAATAATATTAGTTACTACTAAGATTTATGTAAAATATTTAGAAAAAGATAAAGAAGAAATTTTTTTTACTATGTATTCATCAAATTGATGGGAGAAATTAAGGAAATGTAAAAAATAGAAAGGTAAGAGAGAAAATAATATAATAAATTAATTGATATAAAATATTAAAAAAGACAAAAAAATTAAAAGTGGGTAGAAGAAAAATTAAAATTGGTGAAATATTAAAAAAATAACCTTACATGTAATAAAAAAAGAAAAGAAAATACATTTAAAGTATTAATATTTTAAATTTTAAATTTAAATATAAGATTAGGGTCGAGATTACATTACCCATCCCCGCCCCGACATTTTAAAGTGGGGAAAACACGAACTCGCCTCCGCCCCCAATCAACTCGGGTTTTCCCCGTGAATTATTGGGAAGCGTACCAAAATTATCAATTGCAAAATAGTATTTCGATAAAATAAAAGTCGATCCCACGAGGAATAGTTTCAATGAAAATTCTCAATTATGTTTACTAAGTATATTAAACAAATTGGGTTTTGCAAATAAAAGTTGAGTTGAATTTAAATGACAAAGAACTGTAAATTGTTGAGAAAATATCAATTAAAGGTACTTAGGATTGACTTCCTTCCTTATCCCTCTTTTGTAATGGCTATGTCAATTAAGAACGTCAATTAACCTAATAATATTGATGTCACCTACTCAAATCATCCATATTGATTCCTCACACATGAAATTCATAAGAAAATCTAATAAATGTTGATTCCTCACACAATTAACAGATTTTTCAGCATTAAGGTTATGGTGTTTAAGCAATTGATATATTCATTTCATTCTTGGCAATTAACGTAACAAATATTCTTGCCGTAATCTAGGGTTCAAGATATATTTTCCAATCATACCTCAAACAATCAAGAATAAATCATTCCAAAGCATAAAGGATAAGAATAACAACATCAAAGCATAGATTAATATCTCAAAATATCACCATGATACAAGAGTTCAAAGAAAATGCATCGAGTCCTAAGAGAACGAAGTTAGCCACTCATGTTGGTCATTACAATGCTCCAATTGATGAAGAAGTGAAAAATTGATGAAGATTAGACAAAACCCTAACAGTAGTGGTGTCTCCTCTCCTTCAAGACTGCTTGCTTTTCTCAAAACACAACTTATCTTTTTATAAGAGAATTTGGGTCGGGCATCGCATCATTCATTCGCTTAAGCGCTCTTTTTCTTTCAATTTTACTCCAATTATGCTGACAATTATGTTTCTTACTCTTGTATCAAGGTATTCTCGAATTCATCCTATATTAGGAGAAAAATATATTATAATTAACATAAGTTAAGTGGTTTCATAACAATTCAAGGCATAATTATATCAACTTTTTACCACTTAACACCCGTCAAACTCGGGGCGGGAAGGGGTCAATCCCCACGGGTATGGGTTTAATTGTCATCCCTATTTGGAATCGAGTGTGAGGCATAATGATGGGGAAAAAAATTGAGGAATCAAATAATAGAGGGAAATTGGTGTTGAAAGGAAGTTACGAAGAATCTTGAGAAATTCAGAATGGTTATAATCCCACAGTATAATAGGGGCAATTAGAAATGCTATATGAAATAATGGAATTCGTATGAAAAGGGGGGGGGAATGGTTGACAGGAGAGGAAATATTTTTTTTTTATAATTATAAATAATAATAATAATAATAATAATATAAATAGGGGAAAATAACTAAAAAAAAGATGATGATAAATTATATCAAGACACTTATATTTTAAAATATATTGTGTGAACATGAAAAAAAAACAATTTCAATGGAGTTATTTGTAGATTTTATTACCATTTTCATTTATTTTCTGTATCGATGTCTATTTTATTTTTGATAATTTTTATTTTTAGTATTTTACCTTTTTTACAATTTAAGTTTCTCATCATTTGTTGTTTATATTTTTAGCAATTTATCTTTCTTTATAATTTATTTTTTCGCACTTTAAATTTTAAAGTCTAAGTAATTTTCGATTAAATTTTAATAAAGTCTTATTAAATATGTTCAAAATCATATTAGAAATCTAAATTAATAATCAAGAAAGATTTATAAATATTTTTTATCAAATTAATATGTGAAAGATTAATGATTACTATTGAATTTATATTAATTGTTGAATAAAACATTAGTCAACATATATTAGAAAATAGTTTTTTTTTATTTATTTGAATATGTTTGTATATGTGTCATGTTATTTATTATTCTCTTTCTGTATTTTGTTACAATAGGGTGACCCACATCAGGATATACACACACACACACACACACACACACACACACATATATATATATATATATATATATATATATATATATATATATATATATATATATATATATATATATATACTCTCTTGTATCCTCACTTTTGATACAAAGAGAAATATTAAAATTCTATTTTATTTTTTTTTATCTATAAATTCAATATAGTATCAGAGCATAATTATTATTTTTTTTGTTTCCTTTCGCGATCATATTGTCGTTATTCTCTTTTCTGTTTTATGATTGTTATTCCATACCAGATGGCACTATCAACAAATACTAGACACGTCCTATAGTAAAAGGATATCATCAACAATTTAGTTGTGATGATTCAAAAACATTTTTTTAATTATCAAACCTATCACTATTTGCCTAATTCTCACCCTTTTACAAATCAATGGTCTATTCAACAAGTTGGTGTTAATGCCTTCTTGAATGGTTTACTCTAACACAGTTTACATGGCTCAATCCCCTGGATTTGAGCACACAGATTCCATTTTGGTATGCAAACTTTAAAAACCTATCAATGGTTTGAAACAAACTCTGAGAGCTTAGTACGAGTGACTCACTTCCACTCTAATAGGCTTTGGATTTGTACAAAACGAATGTGATCCATCATTGTTGGTTTTTACCTCTATTGAAGGGTATATCTATGTTCTTAGTTATGTTGATGATATCATTCTCACATATTCTTCCTCTATGTGCAATTTGTTATTCGCAAACTGCACTCAACTTTGCCTTTAAACAACTCGGTGATCTTGACTACTTTCTTGGTATAGAGGTAAAATGATTTTCCAATGGTTCTATGCTTTTATCACAAGCAAAATATATCTGTGATCTCTTTGATAAAGCTAGCATGACTGATGTCAAGGGTATCTCTACTCCTCTTCAAGGAGGACTTAAACTGTCCAAACTTGGTTCATATTATATGGATGACCATACTCTTTATTTCTCTATTGTTGGTGTTTTACAATATGGAACTATTACAAGTTTTGAAATCAGTTATAATGTTAATAAAGTATATCAATTCATGGTTAAACCTCTATTAGATCATTGAAAAGTTGTTAAACGCACACTTCACTGCTTACAAAGTTTTATATCTCATAATTTACAGTTTTTCCCTACAGCTCTCTCCAATGATTCTTACACCTTATATGCTTATTGTGATGTTGATTGGGCTTCAAATATAGAAGATAGATGGTCCATTTCACGTGTCTGCATCTTCTTTAGCCCATATATGATTTCCTGGTGGTCTAAAAAGTAAACTCTAGTTGTCCGTTCCAGTATTGAGGTTGAATATTGGAGTCTTACTACCACTGCCTCTGAAATTTTTTGGTTGCATTCTCTTCTCAAGGAACTTCACATCAGTTACACTACACAAGTCATTTTTTGTGATAATCAAAGCACAGTTGCTCTCAACTATAACCTAGTTCTACACACTTGCATCAAACATATGGAGTTTGATATCTTCTTTGTTCGTGAAAAAGTTCTCAATCAATCCTTAATTGTCACTCATCTTCCTCTTGTTGATCAGATAATTGACATTCTCACTAAACCCTTCTCTCAATCTCGATTTTGCGTGACAAATTTAATGTCATTGACTTTTTTCAATAACCTTAAGATTGAGGGGGACTATTAAGGAATATCTTTTTGTTTTGATTTATTTGAATATGTTTGTATACATGTTATGTTTTATGTTATTCTCTTTGTGTATTTTGTTACAATGGGATGACTCATTACATACATATGAGGACAACATTATGTCCTTGATAGATATATCTTGTATCGTCACTCTTGATGCAAAGAGAAATATCAAAATTTTATTGAAATTTTTTTACTTATTACTCTAAATAAAGATAATCCACTAAATCACAATTGGTTCATGTTAAAAACATTAATTTTAATAAACCAGCTTAATACATGAAACCATTTTTAACAAGAAATAAATAAATAAAATGGCTATGATTGGTGTGGGTTTTGGGACACGTTCGATTTTTTTTTTAGTTTTTTAAATTCTTAACTTTTATTTTTAATCAATATTTTTAAACTATAGAGACAAATGAGAGTTTTTTTACTAAAGGCGGTTAAAAAAACTTTGATTTTACTAAAGGGGGTCGAAAATTTAAAATTTTCTCAAAATGGACTAAATCATGTTAGGTAAAATGAGTTTTTGGTGATGAAATTGTGCTTGAAAACATATTTTTAACTAAAATCGTGGTTCCAAACATGATTTTAGTTATTTTTTTTCTTCAAAAAAACAAAAATCATGCTTGCTGTCATGATTTCATGTAAAAATCGGCCAAGTTAGCACGAATTCAATTCTTAGATGACACCATCGTTCCTTGCACGAGTTTAGTTGGGACAATTGCAATATCACGCCACCTTGCACGTGTTCAGAGCCAAAATCGATCCACATTGCACGATTTCAATGTATTTGCATCCTTCCTCGTGGAGTCCAACGTAGAGCAACGTCAGGAATATTGTAGGAGCGTGATTGAACATTCAATTAGGCATTCATTAGACTATTGATTTTTTTGCACGAGAAGGTAGCTTGTTCTATCTATAAATACATCTTCTTCGAATGTTTATAATCACTCTCATCTTCTTCATTTTTAATATTCTCTCCTTGTTGCATCACTATTATCATATTCTTTATATTTTCATTAATGTATTTGTTCTCTTTATTTCTTTGTTGCAATAACATTATATAAAATTTGTGGTGAAGTATGTTGTTCCAATACTGTAACAATTGATATGTTTCCATCTCATTTTGGCGTTATTAAAAATTTCTTGTTTTCATAATATTCAAATTTTATTTTTCATTCATACAATAATGAAAGTGAAAAACTCACTACCAGACACATTTAAAAAAAATAAATAAATTAAAAAGTATATTTTCAAATACAATTTTACCATCAAAATCTTCTCATCTAATATAATTTAACCCATTTAAAAAAAAACATTTAAATTTTCGATTCTCTTTGATAAAATCAAAAATAGTTTTACCGAGTACGGTAAAAAAGCGGACAAATAGGTCTATATTTTTAAAACTATATACAAATGGGTCTATATGTTCGAAGAATGATCTTGATGTATATGTTCGAAGAATGATCTTGATGTAGGTACTCAAGTCAACCTTATACATATGCATATACACAAATGTTTTGTGAATTAATTGTTATGAATATAAAAATCGTGTCATGTTGCTATTTTTCACTTCGTTTATTCACGTACAAAACAAATCCAATGAGTTAAGGGAGAGGTTGGATTAGGTTGAACAAAGGAGATAGTTTTATAGTTATTTTATTCACATACAAAAAATATCCAATTTTAAACTGATCATAATGAAATAATATTTTTATTCATATGCTATATTTTTATATATAAAAAGATAAAATATGAAACAGAATGATTTAGTTTATTATATATGTGAATTAGTGATGTTTGGTAAGGATTGAAGGTAGGTAGGTTAAAGTTGCTGAAGAAATATTTGTTTTGCAATCTAAATCATTTTAATAATATGAAGTGAAACTTAGAGTAATGGGGAAATATTATATTTTAGTGGTTGCTTCTTGTTTGGGATATAACCTACACCAAGAAAAATCAGACAATGCATCTAGTGACTACTCATTTAAGTCTTATCAACTCTTTTGGTTTAAAAGAAAATCTGATTCTCATTGTCACTCATTTACTTTTGAACAAAGTTATATGTAGTGTAAGTCAACTTTGTGAGATTTGATAGGATGAACACTCAAATTATGGCACAGAGAAATACAAGATTGATTGAGAAATCAGAGGAAAACAGAAGGATTATGCAAAGCATAGTGTAGAAGTTGCTCATCTTGTTCAAAGAAAAGCATGTCTTGATGATCGAGAGTGACGAAAGCTTCAACCCCACCATCCCTGGTATCCATCAAAGCAACTGTGTTACTCACCATCTTATTCACACTACACATCCACGCTGCTTCTCCCCAACCAAAATCAACCTCAAGCACAGGGAACTTGCACCAACTCGAACACTTATAAACAACACTGTTGTTATTCTTCTTCTTCAAAACTTCACCTCTCTCTTTCAGACTCTCCATAACCACTCCAAACGCTCCATCCTCTTTGAACCTCTTTGCTTTAGTTTCGACAAACACCCTCATACTCTCCCTCATCCTCTTCACCATCACGTGCAAATCCAAGTGCGCCTCCTCCTCCACCGTCACCACAAACGGCCACACGAAGTTCCCCAAGGCGCCGTCCGCCACCGCCGGCTCCATCCGGGGACGGAGGTTCACCGCTTGGAACAAAACCGAACTCTTGAACGACGCCGTTTTCGAGCGAGAAGCCGAGAGAGCGCATTTCCATATGAGAGCCAGCACCACCTCCACCCTCGAAGGTTCAAACACCAAACCTTCTCGAATTCTCTTCTTTAGTACTTTAACCTTGGACGCGTCGAAAACGAACCTCCTCGAAGTGAAATTGTCCGACGAGACGGGTTTTATGGACGCGGTCACGACGGGAAGCTCTCTCGGAGGAAAAAGCGCGGCGCCTGCAGCGAGTTCGGGGATGGCCGGCAGGGTTTCTCCGGCGCACGCAGCGGTCCAGGTTTTGAGGAGTGCAATGACGGATGCTATGTCGGCGATTTTGTGGGAGAGAGAAATGGTTAAGGCGGTGCCGCCGCAGCGGAAGGAGGTGAAGCGTACGAGGAGCATGGCGGCGTTTGAGGTTGTCAAAGTTTGGTTGTCGGCGGAGGGGAGGAGACATTGGAGGGTGTTGAAGTCTGGAGCTTTGAGGATGTCGGAGAGAGAGGCGTTGGTCCGGGATTCGATGAAGATGGCGCCGGCGTCGTTGCAGTGGAGGGTGTCGGAGTCATGTAGGTTTCCGGCGACAGGGTAGAAGCGGGTCAACGTTTGGGAGAGGGAGGTTTGAAGGAGTTGGGATTGGGTGGAGAAGTGTGGAAGCGCGTGGGTGGTGTGAGGGTAGAAGAGGGTCATGTTGCCATGGATGTCAGGGGAAAGCTTGTCAAGTAAAGAGAGTTTGAAGGTTTTGTGATGTGGTGGTGTGGCTGTGGAGGGTTTTATGCATTTCCTCTCCTCCACCTCAAACTTTATCTCCCCACTCATCATTTCCTTCTCAATTTCTTCTTCTTTCTTTCCATTTCTTTCTCTTTTTCCCATTCTTTTATCAAATAAAGCGTATTACAAAAAGTCAATTCCAAACTAATATTGAACGTCGAAAAACTACATCAATAATTTTAATAGTCAAAACATGTATCTCTACCGTGATGGCAGTGTACAAAAAAAATATAAATTATAAGACAACCATAAAAACATAATTATGATAACTCAATTTGTTATTATTATAATTATAAAGTAATTTAATTTTAAAAAAATTTAAATTCAATATTATATTATTAAATGAAATTGCTCGTGTAAAAAAAGATTGTCAATATATTTTAAAAAATGAGTAATGGATGATTAACCGAAACTTCCGGTTTAGAACCATGACCGGATTTCTTTTTCCTATTAAATTCAATTTTTTTTAGTATGATTTTTTTAACTTTAAGTAAATTTTAAGATCATGAATCATAGAAAATTTTAAAAATATTTTTAAGGACATTATTTTATATTTTGTTCAACTTTTAATATGCTATTATCTTATTATAATTATAAGAAAAATTAAATTTTCTGAGAGATAAAATTTGTCAATAGATACATATTATCTACGTGTTATCAACGGACAAATATTCATCCATATTATCCGATTAAGAGAATTATGACTGACAAAATTCAAACTCAATATCTTAGAGCCTGGAGGTTACTTAGGATTTTCTGATAATAATTTATAAATAAAATATTTATATATAAATAAATATATATTCATGTAAATATATAAATATAAAATATATAAATACAAATATATTTATATATATTTATATATTTTAATATATTTATACGTTGAATGTGAGGTGCGTTCGAAGATGAAAATGTGTGTCGGGTGAGTTTTCAAAATTTTGATGTCAAATTAATGAGTGGATATCTTTATATGGGTTTGTAATTTAATAATAAAATATAATCTTTATAATTTATTTATATAATAATATAAATAATTTTTTTCTTTTTATTTTATTTTAATTTATTCTTTTTATCTTTTTTTCTTCTATTATTTAATTAAAATTCTTATATGAAAATAATTTTTTTATATTAAAAATACTTAAATATTTTTTTTAAATTAATCTAATTATGATTAAATTAAATTATTAAATAAAAAAGTATTTAATTTTTTAATTAGATGAATAATTAATTTATTAGAATATATTTAAAATTAATTATTCATTTATCAATGAATATATTCGTCGATAAATAATTATTTATTTATTGATTGATTTATCGATAGATATATTTGTCGGTAAATAATAGTTCATTTAGTGATCGATATATCGTCAGTAATTAATTGTTTATTTACCGATCAGATATATCCGTCGGTAAGACCAAATCCTACAACTACTTTAAAATTGTCGGTAATCAATCATTTTCCGACGACTACATATCCATTGGTAATTAAATTTTTTTTTGTAGTGATTAATTATGTGTTTAAAATACATTTTCCAATAAAAGAAAATAGCATTTAAATTTTATAATAAATTTTAAATTTTTTTTTGTAGTGATTAATTATGTGTTTAAAATACATTTTCCAATAAGAGAAAATAGCATTTAAATTTTATAATAAATTTTAAATATTTTGATCTCAATTTCTTGTTAAGATTAAAGTATTTTTAATGAGAGTTGCTATTAAGAGTTGTATAAGAATAAAAGTGAATATTTTATTATGGATCTTACTTCTAAGCTACTTAAAAATGGATAAAGTTGTTTAAAATTGGAAGAAAGGTGCTTAGATAAACAATTCTGTCCATATTTTAAGCAACTTAACTATGAGACCTATAATAAAATATTCAATTTTATTCTTAAATAATTCTAATTAAAACCCTCGTAATTAAGATATTATATATCGATTGTAGAAAAGAAGAATTCAAGTTTACTTTTGAGATATTATATATGCATTATAGAAAAGAAAAATTCAAGTTTATTTTTATCTTTTGAGATGTTGATATAATTTTAAGAATATATAATATTTTTAATTAATTAATTAAGGAAGTTAAGTACAAGGAATAAAAAAGAAAAGTTTGTGTAATTTTACAATTCATGGATGATTAGTATAATTTCCCAACATTTTTAATTTAAAATAATGATCAAATTTAGAAATATCGGTTAATTAGTGAGCAAAAACTTCCTTTAAATGATGAATGATGCTATACACATTTTGAAATGATAAATTGCATAATAGATAGGGAAGTTGCAGTAAATATTGTATATGAAAGTCAGTGTATCCTCCTAAAAAATGAAAAATGAAAAACCAGATAAAAGACCTATTATCCCCACAATATCCATCCACAGTGAACCAATAATACGCTTCAGCTTCAATCAAATCAGTTATATTACTTGGCTGCAGTCATTTTCTCTATACAGCAATGTAACTCCCAATGATCCTGGAAAATAATCAGCAGAGCTATATGTATGTATATAAATAACCTTTCAATTTCATATTTACCCTTAAACACTATCATGCATCATTTGTTTGGTATCTACACTAGGACTTCAAAACCAGTAACATATTACATCACCACTGTGCTGAATTCACTCTCCGAAGCATTCGTCTAGGTTTACTCTTCTCCTCAACTGGAATAAGCCACTCCATGAGCTGCAGACAAAGAGTAAAAGCCCACTGATCACATTAACAGAGAACCAAACACTTCAAAAAAGTAATTATAACCCTATAAAAGTTAAAGCCAGTGCACATGCACCTTGTGGATTTGTTGCTCAACTATTACTTGTTGAAGCCATTCTTAGTACAATTGTAAGAAAAGAGGGAGTTCAAATTTAACCAAAAATGTAAAATCTAGGTATTGAAGTGATGCTATCATACGTAACAGGACTAAGAGTTCCAAGAATATTACCAATGACAGCCAAGATTTTAAGTGGATAACTGACACATGGCACATATCAAAAGTCTGGTGCTAGTGAGATTAAATAATCCATCAAGAATGGTAGAAAGGACAATTTAGTGTGCAGAAATTATCTGAATGAATAAACCAATAAAGAACAACTGATCCCAAAAGAGAGCAGAAATTGAGACCTAACCACTGCAAAAAGACTGTAGAGAAAACAAATTGAATTACACGCTGTACTCTGATCAAACCTAAACCACTTGTCTGAAAGGCAATTAAAACACGAACATTTATTGACTTCTCTGTGAAGATTACTACACTTGCAAGGCTGACTCACCCCCATAAATCATAATTGTTTGAATTGAAGGTAATATGTTGAGAAAAAACCTCAACAGCATTGAATTCATAGTTATAAAAGCAAATAAATGAAAGTTGACTTCTTTTGCGGAGGAATTCAAGAATTACGCCAATCCAGTTACATGAGCCATGTTGAAGAAGAAGGGGAGTGGATAGATACAGTACATACCTGATTGAACCTCTGCCTTCTCCTATCAGCCTGCATATAACAATACCCAATATTTCATAAACTCATAAATCATATTTTAAGCAACAAAAACACACAAATCTGCAAAAAGTATCAATTAGGAAAAACCAGAATTTCATACCAGACGCGACCCGAAAAATACATTTTTTCTTTACCAACCACTGGAGTTTAGGTTTAAAGTTTAAACTTGAATTATGTAAAAGGCAGCAAAGAGCTTTAAGTGAATTGGTAGAATAAAAATAAATTTGAACATATTAGTTTGTGTTAAAAGGAAAAAGGTAATTCCTTATGATAATAGTATAATGTTATACATTAACAAAAAAAAAAAAAAAAAATGAGGTGTGAGGAAACAAACCTCTTCCTTTAACAATCGAGCTTTCTCTTGCTCGAGAATTGTAACCAGAGACTCTAACTCAACTGTGTAAGCCTGGAAACAAAATACACGTTTCAATTTAAAAAAAAAATAAAAATGAAAGAAAAAGAAGAAGAAAGGGAACAGAAATAATACCTGTTTGCGTTCCCTGGACCTAGCGGCAGATTCTCTGTTTTTGATCATCCTTCTCTGTTTCTGAAGAGTGGCCTTATCGACGACGGGTTCCTCCACAGCCTTTCTCTTTCCCCTTCCCCCGTGAGAGGGCGGAACGGCGTCGTTTCTGGCAACGGAGGTCAACAACAAATCGTGGAGGGTGACGGACATGTCCTGAGACTCAGTGGCGGCAACCACCTCGTCCCATACCTGGCTCGAAATGGAACTCTGCGGTGCCACATCGGGATTCGTGGTGAGCACCACCTTGGAGGATGCCATGTCCTCTTCTGATTTCACTTCTTGGTGTTATTAAAGAGAATAGAATAGGGAATAAATAACCAAACCAAACCAAACCATATCATATCACCAAACTCTCCTCGCTACCCCAACACACCACAACTTAATTCAATACGCAACAAGCTGCCACACTTTTTATCTAAAAAAACCTTCATAAGAAAAAGCATCCATAAATGTGAAAATTCTCTCTCATTAGAAGAATCGTGATCAAGGGAAAATGCATTTATAATTATATTTATGATAAAGTAGATAAAGTATTAATTATTAGGTAGAAAAGGGAAAATGCATTTATAATCATATGATAAAAATGAATTGAAGTGTAATTTGATTAAGAGAGTGAAAATGGAGTGGTTGGTGGAAGTAGTATTTGTAGTCTAAAGACAGTGTTTGGTAGATTCAGTATGATTGGTGGAAGAATGAAGGTTGTTTTGAGTAAACAGTTGTTAAGAAAAGATAGATGATGGACAGCACAGAAGATTCGTGTGGAAACAAGTTAGTGTATGTTGAAATCTTCACAGATTTGAGAGCTACAAAAATGATTGGTGGAGAACAGAGTCGGCACAAACCAACTCATTCTGATATTATAATACTAATTTTTACGAGGAATGCAATAAATTATGGGTGGAATGTCACGTTCAACAAAAGGGAAACACAAACTATTGTTCATGAAAACTGAATTTAACTTCAATCAAAATGTAAAAGCGTTTTGATTGCGAATAAGCACCGGCAAATGCCAAAAGCTTTTGACTTTTTCCCCCTTCTTTCTTTTTCTTCCTCCGTTACCCCTACGACACGACGCGCTTTTAAAGGTTTTAAAAAATTTAGGATATTTCAACAAGCACTGAAGTGACTTTGATTATGTTTTTTAGAGAATAATTTATTGTTGTTTCATAAAATAATAACTAAGCTCTTAATAATTTTATGATTTATAACAGGGAATTTTATGTTTATATTAATAATAATTTAGTATTTTCTATCAATAGGTATAATTATAAATTTTTAGTAGTTTGCTTATTTAACTTTAAACTATAAATCTTTTTGTGAATGTTTACGGGAGATTAATTATTTTATCTAAATTTTAATAATTTAAATTAAACCTTTAAGGACACAAAGAAAAGTAAAATAATTTTTTTTAAATTAATTATACCGATGATATAAACACTAGACGCTTTAATCAATGACATATATAATAAATAATATCATAAATTATTTTAATATGAAAAATTAACTTGAAAGATTAAATATTTTCTCAATATTGTGTTAATTAAGAAAAATAAAATTTCTTTATAGATAATATATATATATATATATATATATATATATATATATATATATATGAGAGAGAGAGAGAGAGAGAGAGAGAGAGAGAAAAATAAGAATATATGTATTTTTTCCTCCACGTGAAAAAAAATATAAAAAGGACATGATATATACCCAGAAGAAGTTTTTTCATGTTACGTGTTGAAAACGTCTTTAGAAATGTCCTTGTCATTTTATCATGTTTAATATTTTTTACACTTGTGTGATTGGTTCACCTAAAACTAAATTTCATTTCTTAAAATGGGAAAAAAATAATTAGAAAGAAGATTTTATCCTAAAATATATTTTTTAATAAAAAAGAATGATGAGTATGTTATAGAATATGATTAAAAATAATAATTAAGATTTTTTTTCTGGGATAAATTGTTGTCGCGTAGATTGATCTAGGAGTTAGTGAGTGCTCAGAAGAACACGTAATTAATGGGAAACACATGAAAGGTGGCGTCTAATTTTGAGATTTGTGTTGGCGCGCATGTAAACTTTATTGCAACGCAAGTATCTTTCCGTTACAGGATATACCTAATCATATGCTATTTAACATTTTTTTTTTTTGTAAATGTATTAATAATATATACATTTTTAAAACTTATAACTGGGTGTCAATGATTTATAATCAATTTAATAATTTATTAATCAAGTTAAGAAATTAATATGGACTATTTTCAAACATCGTGTTATAATGGGTAATCTTCATAGAGAGATACTGTAAGAGATTAAAGATAATAGTTTCACATTATTAATTATTAATTAAGTTAATTTATATTTAGAACGATTATTTAATGTTAAAACACCTAAAAAAGAACAAGTTGTAGAAAGATGATGAAACCGGAACATACAAAGGGAAGCTAGAATCTTGACATATGGCGGAAGGATCACACTTCACCTTACCACAGGAAAAATAATTTATTATTGTCTCTTTAATCAGTTAATGTCTTACAGAATTTATTAAAATAAGTACAAAATTGCCCATAAAAATAACATTGAAATTTTCAAATACTCATATATGATAAGTCTAAATATAGTATAATATTTTTTTCCCAAAAGCAAATTTTATTTTGTTTTTTAAACTACTATAATTTCATCTCAATAAAAGATTAGATTATAATACTGTGTGTTTTGTATGATTTTTTTATTGATATTACAAGTACCGGTATGAGATGTTTAAAGGACAAATGACGGTAAACGATTCCTTCTAGTTGCATTTTTATAATTTCTTTCTCCACCCCTGTAATTTATATAAAATGACAAAAATATTCTTATATTAATTTTTGTTTAAAATATTTAAGAGGCATATTCATTTTTGCACCATGCTACTCCGTAATATATCCATAGTTAATGTATATCTATTTTGCTGTTTCTTATTTAGTTTTATCGAAGATTGTTTTCACTTCATAATATTGCTCTATTATATGATATACTCGTCTCAATCTGAATCAAAATTTGTTTCTTTAGTTTTATTGAAGATTGTTTTCACTTGATAATATTGTTCTATTACATGATACTCATCTCAATCTGCTTGAAAATTTGATTGAAATTGTATATATTTTAAAAATGAGTTTATCTGAAATAATTGATAACAAGGAAAAAATGAAAAGATATGTGGTTTAAAAATCAGAATAAAACACTTACAGGGAAAGAAGATAGATGAAAAGATGAAATGAAATTATTTTAATTATGGGGTTGCTGAGAGAAATTATGGGGTGCAGGAATAAACAGTCCCGTAAAACGACATGATTAGTTCGTAAAAAGGTGTTTTCATAGAGCAGTTGTTTAAAAGCCCATTAAGCTAGATCCAGAAAAAAAAAAACAAAAAGCCCAATTAGGAGGGTGGCAAATTGGAAATAAAAGGCGGAAGGTAAGAATGTAATCGTAGAAGTGATAATTTGAAAGAAAAAACCCGCGAAAATAACTACCGTTGTCTTGATGCGGTTGCGAAGAAATCTTGGAAATGAGGAGTTTGGGTGGAGTGTGGGTGAGGTGCATCATAGTAGCGATGTTGGTCAATGCCGTAAGCGTGAGGTGCGTAACCACAGGAGAGTTTCATTCCATGCTGAGCAGCGTACGGGCCAGAGGGTACAACCTCTTCTGCAACGCAATCGTCACCTCTGATCTACAAATGGAGATTCTCTCTCACCAGAACGACGACCCCAACAACAACCACACCTCACGCGCCTTCACCTTCTTCGCTCCTATCGACTCTTCCCTCTTCGCCCTCGACATGACTCAGACGGCGTCTTTTTACACCGACACGCTCCGTTTCCACGTCGTCCCTCGCCACCTCTCCCTGGCCCACCTTCGCCTCTTCCCCGACGGTCACACGCTTCCCACGCTCCTCCCTAAGCACCGCCTCCAACTCACCCGCCGCACTCCCTCCGCCATCGCCGTCGGAGGCGTCAACGTTGCTTTCCCCGGCATCTTTTACGGCCGCTACTTCGTCGTTCACGGCCTTGCCGGAATTCTCAGTCTCCGGTCCAACATTTCTCCTCCGCCTTCGCCGGTGGTTCCTCCCATTCGTTCCTTAGATGGCCGGTTCTTCTCACCAAGAAGCAGTCCTAACTCTCCGGCGAACCAACCGGTTCATACTCCGGTTCCGAATTTCGCTTCGTTGCTCATTCCTCCGATTGAGGCTCCCCCACCGGCTACTTCGCCGGTAGATTCTCCAGAGAAGGAACCTGATTGGACGGTTTATCCTCCAGCGGGGTCGGCTCCGAGCTATTCTGATTTGGCAATATCACAGCCGCCGGAGGGATACTCCGACGATTTGGCTTCAGCTCCGGCGCCTGAAGAATTTGAAGGAACGAGAAAGTGTCTGAATCCAGATGTAGGGTTGGAAGGGTCTGACATGACGTGCTATTCAGCATAAACAAGCTTCGTGCATTTCTATTTGACACTGAATGCAAAATATCATTCTCTCTTTCTTGCTTCTTTTGGCATTTGTAGTTTCTGAAATTTGAGTGTATATTTGTACAGATTAACAAAAGCTTTATTTGTTGCTGTTACTTACACTAGCTTGCTTCCACTAATAATCCATTACAAATATGCATTTGCTCGTATATACCAAGAGAATAATTTGTTAAACAAAATTTACATAGGAATATAAGATAGATTTTTACTTTTGGATGCAAGTTTAAGAAAATATCATTTTTTTGTCAGAATTGTAGAAAATTTCGTAGAAGAAATTTTCAAATTTCATAAAAAAATCACAACAAAATTGACAAGTTTAAATCATATTGCAAAAGTTATTATGTGGTGAAATGAAAATTAATTAATGAAACCTTAATAGAATACAGTGCAAAGCGTTATTATAGTGACAACTAGGATGATGATTTATCCAAAAAAAAATTCTTAAAAGTGTAATACTAAGATAAATAATAATAATAATAATAATAATAATAATAATAATAATAAATTACGTAAGTAAATATTATTTTCAAGGGAATTTTTATTTTATTTTTTTGTAATAATTTAAAATTATTAACAATTGGGAAATGAAAAAATATTTTGTCAATAGTTTAAAATCATTCATAATATGAAGAATAATTAACTTAAAAGATTATATGAAAAAATTATTAAACTTTTATTAATACTTTTGTGAGTGTCATGGTTCCCATACTGTAACTAAATTCCACCATATACAAATGTCCGAATAATAAAGGTGAGAGACTATCTAAAATATAGAATGAATGTCTCGATTAATTATAGTATCTAAAATATAATAAATCCTTTTATTTATTTTATCTTAACGAAAAAAAGATACTATATATATATATATATATACATTAAACATTCTAAATACTTCTATACAGGAAAAAAAATGTAAGGAGATGAAAAAGATCATTGTATACTTTTTTTTCTTCGTTGATCGTGGAGAGTAAACAGAGAGAACAATGTTAGAGTGCAGGTAAAATTTTTATTTTTCTAAGAGAATAGAAAAGTTTGACAAATAATAAACTTATCCTATTATATTAAAGTAATATTAAAATTATTTAATACGATTCTATTCTTATATTTTTTTATTTTCCTTTCAAACCAAATTAAAAAAAAATATTTACTTTTTTCTCTACTTTGTTGCCATTTAAATAAAATGAAATTAATATATATATATATATATATATATATAAGTAATATAATGAATTTATAAATGAGTATACATGTATTTATGTATTTTTTTAGTCTGATTTGACTGATTTAATATAAAAATATTTATAAAATAATCACATTATTTAATTTGTAATACGATTAAGATTAAAATTGAAATATGTGAACAAGACTAATGAGCTACGCTCACCCTTCTTCAGGGTCTGTATATAAAAGAAAGACACGTCCAAGAAAAGAGTTTCGTACAACAGAAATCATTGAAAAATGAAAACAAAGAAGCAGTTATTTTTCACTTTTTCTATAATTTGTTGGAAACAGAATTCGTTTATTTTAGAATGAGTCATCTTCAATCGGCTCTCCTTTCTGAGGAAGGAACAGAATAAATCAAAAACCTTATCGAGGAGGGACTAGATAAGTAACTTGCAGAAGCATGTTTAGAACCCAACGCGTAAACGTGTGGTTTAAATATAGAAAAGCATGATGATGAAACGATGATATTGGCTCCAAAAAAAGAAGGAAAAAAAGAAGAATGATGGTGACATGAATTGAATAATAATAATAATAAGGATGACAATAAAACCATACAAGCAAAAGAGGAATAAACCAATGAAAAGATTAAAAAAGGAAAAAGCTTAAGGTAACACGTATGTATATATAGTAAGGGATAAAGAACAGTAAAGCCTATAAAATGATGTATGGGCTGTGTTTTTTCACCGTTTGTTTCTCTCTCTCTCTCTCTCTCTTAATGGCATGCGAAAACAAGAAGAATGGTCAGAAGCGAAAAAAACCTGGAATGTTCACCCAAACGGAGATTGAGATGGCGAGGCAGCTGATACAACTTAGCAACAGCATCGCAGATTCTAGCAGCAGTCAGTTGCAGGAAGATGGGCACAGCTTCAACAGCGAAAGCGTGCAATGGAAATGGCAAGAGAGCAACAATGATGATGAGAGTGGTGCAGTAGAGGATGTGTTGGCAGAAATAGAAGAAGATGAAAGCTTAAGGAGAAGAAACAACAGGTACCGCTACATTCAAGATTTGTATAACGCTACAGAGCCTCTACTCCATCTACCTGCCTTTATGGACCGACATTAATATATTCGCTTGTGTTAGTAGCTGAGCTGAGAAGACAAGTGTATATATAATCCTCGTTACTTTTAGAATGGTTCCAAGTTTGTTCAAAGTTTCAGAACTAATATTGTATTATCTGAGCACAGCAATATTCAGAAGATCAAATAGTTTGTATACATTGGCCTAGTTAATCATGTCCAATGAGTCATATTTTATATTTCCCCCGATTATGATTATTAGGATGGTCTACACCTTAGAAGTTCAAGATTAAAACAGTACAAAGAATGAAGACAAGCGCGTATGTTACGCTTCAGAGGTTACAAACCTGTAGACGCGGAACAGTTGGTCAAAATACATGTTTGTCGACTATTAACGTTGAAGTGAAGAAATCTACAACATCGCCATGGACTCTTATTTGCATTTATGCTACGCAGGGAAACAGTAACATTGGATCGTTAGCACGTTTACCAAATTATATTGTTTCTGTTCTAACAAAGTAGGGCGTTACGGCAACGCATTCAATGCAAGAAAGTCGAGTCGATTACAGATTAAGACAGCGTCCATTTCCTTTTTGTCACACCAGAATCCAAAAATCCAACTACAATGACATACAATTTACGAGATTACTTTTTAAAATTATAATTAAACTAACAGATAAAAAAATTAATTAGTGTTAATTTAATGACTTTAGTAATTTAAGTTATATTCCAAAATTATTATCATATTAACAAGGGAAATAAGATTCTTATGCCAAACAATTTAGAAAACAAGATAAAATTTAGGTTTCGTTTTTCTTTTATAATCTGACAATTATTTAAAATACAAAATTAACTATTTCAAATAACTTAATAACTTTATTAACATAAAAACTACTTATTTCGGACAATGTACACAAAATAAATAATCTTAAAACTACTTTTAACTTAATGAGTCAAAACATGAAATTTATTTCAGACAATCAATTATATCTTGTGGTTTTTGGCACAGTGAATGTACCACAACAAAATCCCACACACAACAAAGTTGTCATCGTTCCACTACCATATAAGAGAGACTGAGAGAGACGTGTCTAATAAGTACCAAGTGAGTAAATTTCACCAATTAGAGCTAAAGTTCAAACACATACAGGTTGGCTACAAAATTATCAACGGTATATCTATAAGCACTTTCACGCACTTTTGAGAACATAGAACATATGATTGATATACTTGAGAAGAAAGTTCATAGAAAATAAAACATCTAATTCTTCATAATTAAAAGCTTCAATGCTCAAGATGGAAGACATATTCTGTCAATCGCTGCAATTTACTATGATCAAGTTTCTGCTCGGTCACAACAGGTTGCTTCTTCACAATAAGCATACGAGAGGCAGGGTCCACTGTCCAGCCTTGCTGTAGTACATCTACATTATACAACCAAAAAAGTCAATAATAATGAGAGGTTCAGTTATAGAATTTAACCCTTAATGACTTAACCAAGACCCCAATGGAGATATGCGAATTGCAATGATCACCCTCCTTACAGCCAAATTCACCATCAATATTAATACAGCGTAGTTTCCATATTTTTTCCAGTCCAAAGTATAGAATTATCAATATTTAATTTATAAGGCTTCTAGGACAGTGAAAACTACTCACAGTTTGTAGCATCATCCTCGTTCATTCCCAGAAATAAAGCAGTGTCTTTGATGCTTATTGTTGAGTAAGCAGAGAGAAGCAGCTGAAACATCTCCTTCGTGTAAAGTTCTGGGGAAACAGTTTATTGGTGTTAACATTTTTACCTAACTAAAACAAGGAATAGGTGCACGAGCCTTGCTGTGAACTCAAGCTATTTGGAAAGGCAATATAAACTAAGAAGCATGTTTAATCAAACAAAGCATAAGTAAAAGAAGCATGTTTATGCAACATTCATAGAACTTATATCTTCAGCACATGGTAGCCCGAGAAATTACAACATTCCTCTACGCCTTTATGTTATATGCGTACGGGAAAGGAAACTCCACTAAAAATATATTTTTAATCACCAGCCTTTGAGGTTTAAACTATAATACAATTTATTCTCAACAAACTAATTATAAGGTGCCATTGCTTTCATTCATCACCGCAATTAAAGCAAAAATAACATTGTATAAAGTTCTACATAAACCAATAGTACTTTTAAACAAATTAATTAATCCACACATACACGCTTCGCTGATTCCCCTACCCAGAAGCTTAACATATAGTCTATAGTCTGTAATTAACAGTCAACAAAGGAACCTGTGATGGGTTATAATAAAAGTGAGGACAACATTTTGATAAAGCCAGGTTCTAGGATAACAGCTTTCGTCTCAGAAATTCAACGGAATTGACATATATACAGTTGAATTGTTTAGAAGACATTCAAAGTGACAAAGCGAGTGTAAAGATACAAGTTGTACAACAGCTTCTTTAGAACAATACTGATAAAGTCTTGCCTGAAAATGCAGCAACTAGGCCTTGGAGATCCTGAGTCCAATCAAAGCCACGGATTTCCTCATGCACTCCAGCATAGTCACGTAACCAGAGCTTCTGACCGATTTTCCAAACCGCGGTGACTTCGGGCTGGCTCTCTTTGATTGAGGAAGGTATTGATTTCCAAAGAAAGCGCGCACTATTGCTGCAAAACCACAACAGAACTTCCAAATTGAGATATATATTAAAAAAAAATGAATTGTAAAACAGGTATTATTTATTTCAGTAGCAACATGAGTAAAATAATGGCCAATTCATTGAAATATACAATGATGTTAAGCGGGAAAACGTTAGGAGAATTGAAAGAGAGCTACATGTCGTGAACGTAAATGTGAGCGAGGAGGTGAATGGCGTAGGGCCAATCGTCCTGATAAGCAATGCCATCAGCTGCAACCTGAGTTAAGCATCGTGAATTTTGAAGTAAGCCACAAACCCTAATGAAAGGGGAAAATGACATGAATCAAATAGATAGCTACCTGAAGCATTAGGTTATCGCACACGTCCGCAACTTTCTCGTACGACTTCGAATCCAACATAGCTTTTACCGAAGAGAAATCCATCACTCTCCTCTCCGATCAAATCCCTATAGCAGCAAAACGCAAATAGCCAAACTAAATATAAAAAGGCCAGTTAACAATTATTTTACTCAACCAAACATGGCACTAGCGGAGCCATACCTCAATTCGATGCGATGAGAATGAAGTGAAAAGCTTAAACCAGCTTCAGTTCCTCCGGCCAAAATCCATATATACTCTATGTAACGACGTCGTTCTTACTTAAATATCGTCACAGTGCGAAAAAATGTGCGATCTTCCAACCAACGAAGTATCGGGTGCATGTAAGCGAGGCCCATAAGGCCCAATATTAATCTGAGCAAGATAATATGGGTGAGTGGGATTACGTTGCCCAATATTATATTTTCTTTATATATATAATTTGAAAACTATTGCCGTTGTTATGTTTTTACTTTTAATAACTATTGTAAATAGTAATTTATTACAAGAATTCACGATGCTTAACTCTTTAAAGCGCGCACTATTGCTGCAAAACCACAACAGAACTTCCAAATTGAGATATATATTAAAAAAAATGAATTGTAAAACAGGTATTATTTATTTCAGTAGCAACATGAGTAAAATAATGGCCAATTCATTGAAATATACAATGATGTTAAGCGGGAAAACGTTAGGAGAATTGAAAGAGAGCTACATGTCGTGAACGTAAATGTGAGCGAGGAGGTGAATGGCGTAGGGCCAATCGTCCTGATAAGCAATGCCATCAGCTGCAACCTGAGTTAAACATTAATGGATATTTAAAAATGTAAGAAATTTTATTTGATTAAACACTTTATTTTTCCGAGAAGAACAAACTAATTTTGATCTTAAACCCAGCGTAATTTAGATTGCATGGATGAATTTGGATTCAAATATTAAGGATGTAGGAAAAAAAATATTTTATTTACGAATTAATTTATTAATTTGTTTATAAAAAAGTGAATTATTTAGTCGATTGTAATATTTTTTTTTTTTACACAATCCATGGAATAAGCTAATCAGGCTATGAACTAGAATAACCCATGAAATGAACTACATATTTTAATGGTAGGGAAATATTTGATAAAATAAATGTAATGGGTTTTAAGTATTTTAGCCTTGACGGAACTAAAAAGACTAAAAAAAGAAGAAAATTTAAGTTATTTAAGATTTTATAAGATTGTCTTACTGTTTTTTAAATCATATTTATGATATTATTTAGCTTATATTTTGATTCTTTAAAGTTAAATGATGGTGTCATCATTTAGTTTGATGTCTTTCACGTTATATAAGTGTATTCTTTTTACCTATCAATCATGAATAAAAGCATATCAATATTTACTCTTTTATTCTGTTCATATTTTCAGTAGTAGATTTTAGATACTGTAAAATAGTGTAGCTTTTAGTTTGCTATCATCACTTTGAAGCAGTGTCATGTTATGTACATGGATAATTAATTCAAGTATAAAACAGAATTTTATCTTTGATTTTTAAAAATATATAATTTTAATAACATTTTTTTATTAATATTATTATGTGGTTTTTATTATTTTTTTCTTAAATTTTATATTTAAGAATATTTTTTATTAGCACAAAGTTAATATAAAACTAATTAACTATTTTTAAAATACAATGACAAATACTAAATTAAAAAAATATATATATTTAACCCGAATGAAAATTATTAAAATTGAAACGAGGGGGAGAAAATTTGTCACCCATACTATTTAATAAATGTAGTCTTAAAAAAAAAAAAACAAGACCGATATTGTAATATCGGCAACGACAGTAAATCATGCGACGCCAATATCAATGGTAGATCTTACGTTGTCAAATCCAAATAGTTTATTAAAACTGTATTAAAATATTTTAATTATGTATATTATAAAAATAAATATAATATCCAAGACCTAGTCCGACTCATCTAAGCTTGATTGTAGGCATTGTAACACACCTGTTCTATTGGAGGCTGTCATAATTGCAATTATTCAAGTGCTAACCAAATTACCCATCATAGAAGTAGCTTTATAGGTTGATGCATTCTCTTATAATACCCAAAATTATTTTCTTTCCTCAAAAGGCTCTTGGTGTTCACTTTAAATTTTAGAGCCCAAAAGAATTAAAAACTACTACCATATAACAGATATTCTTACATGAAATTTGAATAATCAAATGAGCAAAAGCTTCTGATGCACTTTCCAAAAGCAAAAAAGAAAAAAAGCTGAGGGAGAAAAAGGTTGAAGAGGGGAGAGAACCAGCAAATTAACAAAAACCCAGCAGGAAGGATACCTCACCCACTCATTGGATGTACTTTACAGTTGACACGTTGTTCCGCAGATTTTTGTCTTCCAAGTTAAGTAACCTGTTCAAAAGAATTCTGCAAAATTCTTTGAGAAAAATGTTAAATGCCCTAATTTCATATATTTCCCAAAACCTGTTTCCTCCACTTTGCAGTTTAACAATTTGCTGTGACCCCTCCAATAACCATTCTAAATTCCCACCAACAACACCCCACCCAAATTTTCTCTCCCTCCTTTCCCTCCTCATTTCTTCCTTAAATTACTCGAAGAAACGAGGGTCGAGTGAGAAATTGCTTAGAAGATAAGAACATTGATACAGCCAACAAGAATGATATCATCAAACAGTCAATCCATCGAATCCACACTGCTTGTAAGACAGAGATTGCTTTCTTGGACTGATCACAATTGCACAATCCACCGAAACCTGTAATTGAGTTATTGTCGTTAATCTATTGGTAAAAGTAAATGATATCAATGAACAAAATAGGAAGTTAGGGTAATTACATGAGAGCCACAATCACAACACACAGTTTCATTGCTTACAATGCAAAAAAGATTGGGAGGGAGTTGAAATGTTGACACCAATAAAATCAGAATGTGAACACAGAAGAAGAATGATCACATTCCCACCCATGTGACACACCGCAGAAACAGGATAATCACATGGGAGAGACTTTTCTTGGCCTTGAAAGAAAAATAAAGTAGCGTTTGACATTTCACATACATTTGTAAGCTTCGTTTTTAGTCTATTCTAACTTTAAATTGTAAAGTTGGAGGAAGGCATAACAAAACTTGCATAGTTAGTTAATCTGACATCTAGTTGCATCACCAAGGTGAGAAAGAAAAAAAAGCAGTCCTCACCATTAAGTTTTCATCTTTAAGAAAAAAAAAATTCTTTTTTTTTTTTAGAAAAAGGGTATTAACGACAAACATTACTGAGCTTCATTCAGATGACGCCGTCGTCTAGTAGTTGGTAGCGCGCCGTCGTCTAGTAGTTGGTAGCGCGATTCAACACAGGTGGGACCTAGCAATTCTACCATTTTCTTCGCACTTTCTAATCATTCGTTCTTAGCTAAAGTTGAGTCATAATAACCCCTACATTCCACAGTTTTTATATTTATATTCCTAACTAAGTCCCTTCGTACTCCTTGAACATTTAATAAAAGTCTGAGTCCTCGAAATTAAGAATTTCTCCATTGTTATGCCCATAAAACAGAGAAACTGCACTTCCAAGGTGAGAAAAATTCTACAAGCACAACAGCGATACGCTGAAGCTATTGGAATGAATGTCTAGCCATGCTATTCAGACAAGTGCATAAAAGAGAGTGAAAAAAAAAAGCACTTAACAGAAACCTACAATTAGGGGCAAGTTAGAAAAAAGTGACGCCCCGGGTTCGATTTCACGGACTACTAGTAAATAATTTTAAGAAAAAAAGACCGATTAAAAATAACTTATTATATTTTAAAACAAAAATGTAATAAATATCTTCTTTCAAAATATTTAAAATAAATCCGAAAGAGTAAAATGTTAGCAGAATCGTAATTTTATAAATGAGGAGAGAAAAGGAATATATTATATTTATCTATAATCCAGACATGGAAAAAAAGTCCTTTGACACAAAAGTGGAAAGGAACACCGAGGAAGAATGCATCCAAAAATAAGTGAATGCGATCCAGCAATGAAGAAAACATATCAAATCAAACGAGGCGACAGGGAGTTAATAAGTCAGTCAAGGGTGGAAGAAGCAGAAACATGGCTTCTCAGTTCATAAAGATAAAATTCAGACAAAATACTGAATAGCAATGTCTTCAATATTAATATCATTTGTGTTAAAACAAAATAGCTTTCGGCGCAGGTTATCAGAGACAACGTGGTACGGTAGGAGTAGAGCAGTGTCCGTAGCAGCGCATATTAGCGAGAGGGAAAGAAAAAAATAGAGAAGTAAAGAAAAAGAAGAGTGCGACAGAGGGTAGTGGAATTCGCAGTTGCAGCCACCCTCCGCCACACTCATTCTCACTCACTCAATCTCTGCCATGAACCACAACCTTCAATTTCACTTTAAGAAGAAAAAGAAAACGGAAATTGCGAAGAAGATGATGCGGTTTAATTAATTAATAAGCGAGAGTGAAGGTGAGTTAACCTAAATTGGGAAAGTTATTGTGGTATATAACAAAGCGGAAATTGGAGGAAGGGGAAGCGGCAAATTGAATTAGGGAATGAGTGTGTTACCTGAACGCCAGGGGAATCGAAGTTCATGACGCGGATCTTGGCGGCGACGTCGCCCAAGACGCGGAGGTCGACGCGGTCGTTGAGGGAGGCGTCGCGGATCAAGTCGGCGGCGTCGGCCTGGAGGAGATTGACACGATCGACGGCGATGGTGGCGATGACCTGGCGGGTGCTGTGGGGTTGTTGGAAGAAGCCGGGAACGGTGGCTTTGCCGAGGGGGATGCCGCGGTACATGACGGTGAAGCTGGATTGGCCGTACCGGATACCGACCTTGTTGGGGTTGGTGGCGGAGAAGAGGAGGCGAATAGTGAGGGAGAGGGAGGCCGTGGAGGGGGGATTGGATGTGATGCCCATGTACTGCACCCCCACCTGCTCCAGATCGAACTGAGGCTTCTTGGGCTTCACCGCCAGGATTATCACCAGCACCACCGCTAGCACCAACAGCGCCAGGAACGAGAATAGAAGGAAGAGACAACAACAGCACCCTTTGAACGACGCTGACGACGACGAACGAGCCGGCGTTGTCGGGTGGTACTGTCGGTACCCGTTGTAAGAAGACGAATGTGCTGCCGCTGCCGCTGTCGGTGCCGCTTCCGCCGCAGCCGGTGGCCATTGTCTTTGCTCGCCGTTTGGATGTGGGTGGTGGCTCGCTCTTGGAGTCATTCTCTCTCTGATTGGGTTGGATTGTTTGTTCTAGTACTGTGTGTGAGTGAGTGAGTGTGTATTTCTAGCAATCACAGATACCGGAAAGAGGGAAATGAGGATGATTTTAACGATTAAACCATTAAATAATAAAATAAATTATCAAAAAAAGAAAATTATTCTACTCAAATAACTTATTCAAGACTTTCAAAAACCAAAAATGAAAGTTCCCATGTTTATGTTGTGTAACTATTATTGGGATACGATTGTTTTTATTATATAGAATGTGTAAATATATTAGACTAATTGTAACTGTAAACAAACGTGATGAGTTACAGTGAATAAGACAATACTAACCGGAATTATATAAAACGTATATATAAAAATGTAAAATGAGCGAGAAAGAAAATGGAAAATGGAAAATGTGATTCCTCATTATTGTTGTGGAATGAGATTTGTTTGAGAACGATGTTAGTTGAGATAATGGTGAAGACTGTGATGGGTGCATTCTAAGATTGTGTTATGCCACACAGTATATTCTAAGTGGTAAGAGGTTGGAAAATTGGAATTACAAATACAGAATTTTTATAATTCTTCAATCAATTGTCAGAACACTTTATCAATTTGTTTTCTGACACATTCATAATGTCTTTTATTAATTTTCAAAAGAAGTGACGCATTCATAATGTCTCATGCGACATCTTTTGTGATAGAATGTTTTTTTCTTGTGTAGTAGATAATCTTTACGTGATTATATCGATGAGTCTATGAGAATTTGAGTATTTATTTATCAATATATCAATAATATTTCTCGTCAATATTAATAATGATTTTGACCTAATTCAAACATATTAATTCTTCTTCAATTATTGATTTATAGTCTTCGTATTCATATTCTTGTACACTAATATTCTATCCACTTTTGATCTTTTAGTATTTATATTACTTGTTTTACTTTTGTGACTTCTTAATATCTTCTTTTTATAAATAAAAAATATAGGGAAACATTATCTTCTACTGTTTTAATGGACACAATTTGTTTTTTTTTTTAATTATAATTTTACTTATAAAGGTTATTTATCTAAATTATATAAATAAATTGAAAAAATGAATTAGAAAAATATTGGAAAGAAGATTAAAGATAAAAAATATATATCTAAAAGACTAAATATTAAATGTGGTAGAAAGATAAACGATTGAATATTAAAAATAGAGAAATATCGAAAATTTAAAGAAAAGAGAAAAAAATTAAATAATGAGATAATATGATAAAATAAAGAATTGAGAATTAAAAAATTGTCTTGAAAATAAGTTATAAATTGTTAATTATGAAAAACAGTTATATATTCATGATTTAATAGAATAGGTTATAAATATAATGTGATTTAATAGAATAGGTTATAAATACAATGTGTACGAGTGGGAAACAATTAATTAAATTTTGTTTTTTTAACGATGGCTAAAAATAATAAATATAAATAAGACAACATAATGTAAGAAAGAAGGTGATAAATTATATTAGAAAACTTACATTAAAAAATCGTTACAAACAATAAAAAAATTTGTTAATAAAATTTTGGAATTTAAGTCACTATTTTTATTAAATTTTTATACTAAATTTTTGTTTTATTCTTCATTATTTACCTCTTCCAATAATTTATGTATTCAATAATTTACTCTTTTCCATCATTTATCTATCTATATTTTTAATTTCTTCTTTTAATGTCAATCTTTTATTTCAAGAGATTCTTTTTCATCTTAATAAAGTTCGACCAAGTAATAAAACAATTCACAATCAAAATATTATTATAAATACTTTTATTAAGTTAATATGTAAGAGATTTATTACAACTTCATATTAATAGTTGAATAAGATATTAATTAAAATCGTTATATTTTTTGGTTTAATTAGAATGTCATTTATATTAAAAAATTATTATGTATTAATTTAAATAAAAATAATTAACAAACGATAAATAATCCGTATTAAATATTTTTTGTGACAAATACCTAAAAAATAATTAAATCAATTTTTTTTATGTATAAACAAAATATTATTAATAAAGATAATATCTTATGCTAGAGATAAGTGATAATATAAACAAAATTAATTTTTTTATTCTCAATTATATATAATGTTTTAGTAAAAGAAAATTATTTTATACTAATAATGTCCTTCTTTTGATGAAAAGTGCGAATTTTTTTTCAAGAGGTTTCATTGAAAAAAACCACGGCCTTATTCTAACCTAAGTAAGAACAATAATTACTAGAAAGCAATATTCTATAATAAATTAAAAAAATTAATAGTCAAATATTTTAAAAAGATAATGTAATTAATCCACTAAATTGGAGTCCAAGTATTATCAAATCAAGATTTAAACTAGTATCTTAGAGTTAAAAACTAATATTCCAACCACTAAGTTATTACGATTTTTTGATTAATAACTTACAAATAAATTATATTTATATATAAATAAAAATATATTTATATATTTTGATATATTTATATATTTAATTTTTTTAATTTAATATACACTTTCTATGTTGGTTAAATTAAAACCGACATAAAAAATTTATTTTCTATGTCGGTTAAATTTAACCGACATAGAAAATGAATTTGTCCACCTACCATGTCGATTACATAACAACCGACATAAAAAGTTCATAATATTATTACAAAAATGTTACCAGTCATACATACTATGACGAGTGGATTACAACCATCATAAAAGGTCATCATAAAAAGGATTACAACCGTCATAAAAAGTCATCATAAAATTATATTTTTCCACTAGTGAAACCAACAAACTTAAACAACACATTGTTGTCTTCTTCCTATCGTTGTCAAGAGTAAATTTATGGTAAGAAAGACAATATCAAAGATGAAGTTTTCTTGTATAATATATTTTTCTATCTACCTCTAATTAAGAATAAGAATAATTTTTTAACATGTTGTTCTCTTATCATATCATATTTATTTTCTTTCTATAGTGGCATATTAACCCTTAACATAAACTATGAATAATGTATTTTTCTATACGCGTTAACACTAGATCATGAAGAAACATCTAAGTAGATTGAGGAACAATGTGACTTTTCTATACATGTTAACATTAAATCATGAAGAAACTAGAAATAATGTGACTAAAGTACATGGTAAGATTCAATGTCAAAGTTGAAAATTTCGTTTCTCATACATGATCGTAGCTCAAATAAAAAACATCATTATTTACATTGAAGATATAATTCAATTCATCGTAACAAAAAAAAATAAGACTTTGAAACAGATAAATAATAACTGGGAGACCTAAGTCAACGAGACAATTTACCTAAGTGATGTATTTATACATTATCAATTATATACATATTTCTTATAAAATATCTATCAATAATTTAAATATAAGTAATTTTTAAATATATAATATTAAAAAAATAAATTTTTTTAATAAAATTGTGACTGCATAATTTCATATGTTATGCTAGTCATTGCACACATATCTTTCTTTCTCACTAAGCAAAACCCACAACTTAGAAGAGAGTCTCACCTTCCTTCTCTGGTGTTCAAAGAGATTAGGACTGTGATTATTATTGAAAGATGAATGTTTCTAATTTGATGATAAACCCCGAAGGCCACGCAGCTGGAGATTTGATTAAAGGTGATTAAGACTAAGAAGAGGGAAACAAAACGAACACAGTCAACAGCTGGAAGAGGAAACATTAGGTGTGTGTTTGATGTTCTGTTGGCGAAAAATGAAGCTTAACAAATGTTTGGGTAAAGCATTTCCTTTTTCTTTTCAAAGGACCATTGACGATGTTATACCTCGTAGGCTTCAGATATCTGTTTGAATTTAATCTCAGCCTCTTTCTTGTTGGTTGGGTTCTTATCAGGTGTCATTTCATTGCAAGCTTTCTGTAAGCTTTCTTCAATTCTTCATCTGAGGCATTCTTGTCAACCTCCAAAATCCCATAGTAGTCCATCCCCATAAATTCACTCCTTGCTTTTCACTCTTCTCTTTCTTCAGCCTCAACCTAACTGATCCACAATTCTAAAACATAAAAACTCTGCAAAATTTTGAGATAAGAAGTATAGTGTGTAACAAAAGTTTATTTTTTTAGCTTTTTTTGATCAATATATCAATGTACATAAACTGTTTAAAAATCGGTTCTTTTGCTTTATTTGTTATGAGACGGACTTTAATCATATTACTTTTGTAGCCAAATAGGAAAAGGGAAATAAAATCAGAAAATAATTATATAATAAACAAAAAGTATATTGTTTTCAAAATATAAAGTAGGGCAAAATAAAAAATATGGTTATTTAAAAGTGAGAGCGGGAATAAAAATAAATAAATAGATTATAAAAATTTATTAATTAAAACAATTCAATTTAAATTAAAATGAATTCTTTGTTATAATAAAAATAAAATAAAAAACTCATTCTCTTTGTTATAATAATAAAATATATATATATATATATATATATATATATATATGACCAAATTTCTAATGCATCTATATCTCGAAAAATAAAATTTTTGGTTTCTCTCTATATTATTTTATATAATCAATATCAATAATATTAATAAAATAGATTAAATTTTATAATTATTTTTTAAGTATATAATTTATTTTTGTTTTGTCCTTTTTATCATATAATTATTTTTTAATGTTTAACTGTTTTTATTTTAAATTATAAATTTATTTTTAGTGTTTTGGTACTTATTTTTATAATATTATCTTAAAATTATAATCTCTACTTGACTTTTTAACTATTTTTAATATTTTAATAATTATTTTTGTTATGTTTTAAAAAAATGTAAATACATAAAGACAACAATATTTCCACTAATATAAAATAAAAAGAAAGATTATACTAGTATTTCTTTATATAAAAATTATTAAAAAAAATACTGTTTTTTTATTAAACTCTGGGCATATTTTTTAATTTATTTTCAACTTTTTTTTCACATTATATTATTTGAAACATATTAAAGATAATTATTTTTACTATTGGAGTTATAGCATTTGTTTGTGTTCTGATTTTGAATGTTCAATATGTATTAAATTAATTATAATTAAATTGCTGAATAATTTTAAAAACACTTTGTTTTTTCATAAAAAGTCTTAATCTTATTATAAAAATTTATGATTTTCTTATTATGATTAATTTTACAATTATTCAATTATACCTTGTGTTGATATCAAATTGTCCTAAAATCTTATGTGAAATAAACTATTATATTTTTCTTCCTTTTTACCATAAAAGTTTTTGGAAAACAGGTTCACAAAGTGTTTTAGTTAGTTATTATAAAAATCTTAAACATTAATGAAAAATTATATTATTTGGATAGATAGACTAATTTTAAAATATTATGATTAATATATAATTAATTATTTATTAAACTAACTCATTAGTATCTTTACTCATGAAATACATGAGATTTTCTTAAATTTATAATACACTAAATATATTGCATATTATTTTAAACATATAAATGCTAAAAACCAGTGTGTTTTGGTATTTTTATTAAACATTTGAATATTATTTTATCTTGATAAAACCATTATTTTTAGTCTCAGATAATTTTTTGTATTTTTCGATTTTAAAGTATTTTTAATTTCGATAACGTGATTGTCGATTTTAATCAATACTAATGTTTCACTTTTAAAGTTATTGTTAGTTTCAATGATATCATTTGAAAATATATCTTTTAATTAAAAGTATTTTTTACCTTTAAAAAAATTATGAAAGTTTTTAAGATGGTTTTTGTTTGAGTTGATTTAATTTATTAAAAAGTTGAAATTGTAAGAAAACAAAAAAAAACTTTAGAAAATGAATCAAATATCTTTTCTTTTTAGAAAGTATAAAGTTTAATCGAAAATTATAAATAAGTGCAGTTCCGGAAGTATAGAATACAGAAGAAGAATGTGTGTTATAATTTATTATTTAAACTAATCATAATTTAAGTTAGTAGAAATGTCTCAGTGTGTTTAATATGTTAAATATTTTTAGGATTGATTTTTAATTAATCAATATTTGAAATAATTAAATAATTTTACTTACAAAATTTTAAATAGATGAAATCATTATTTTTAATCAGTTTTGATGATATTTTCTAAACGTTTAAATATAATTTTGTTTCAATAGTTTAAATCAATAAAATCATTATTTTATCAGTGTTAATGACATATTTATTAAACACTGGGATATTGTATGTGTTACTAGTTACTTAATGGATTTGAAATTCAAAATTCAAAAACTTACTCGAGATAAAAAAGAATTGAAAAGTATTTTAAAAAAATAGACATATTCATGATTCAAGTAACAATTGAAGAAAATAAAACTATTACCCGATTTATTAGTGATTTGAATATTAACACACGTAATATTGTTGAGTTACAAAAGTTTGTTGTTACGAATAATTTGATTTGTAAAATAAATGTTTGTATTATATTATAAGCATTACCTACAATTTTTATCTTTTAATAAAATGTTGTTGTTTAAAGTATTATTATGTGACGACTGCAATTAATTATAATTAATGACACCATCTTCAATTTTTATTATTTTATCATTATTGTTTTAATTATTTTAGTCATTAAAAGGATATCATTTTGAAGTATAAATAAAAAACTCTTCTTCTTTAAAATTCTTAGAATTCAAAAATAGGGTGTCTCTATTCAAAAAATAGAATGTCTCCAAATGTTCCGATCCTCTAATAAATAGACTCATTTTTAAGATATGATGTTTCTATTAGGAAACCAAAACACAATAAAATAGGTTAATTTTGACCATGTAAGATAAGAATATACTATTTTGCATAATTTTTTTATGAGACATTTTATTTATTTTTCAAATTATAAAAAACATATTATAGAATATAAGAGATATAATTGAAAAAAAAATCATTCTATAATCAAGAAAATTATAACACACATGGAGAAACATTTTAGTAAAAAAAACAAAGGTTAAAGATTATTAGAATTTTTTGAAGATGTTTAATTTGTTTCATTGGATATATTTAGAAAAACTACAATATTGACAGAGAAAATTTTTGAATTGAACATTGAGCTCTCTTGATTGTGTCCATAAATAGCAAAACTAATGTAGGAAATAATAGAATACGCTTAGTGAATAAACTTTATTTTTCTTATTTTTATTATGCATGTGATGAAAAACTGTTTGAAAAAGGCTACTGAAAAATTCAGAAGAAAAAAATATGGAAAAGAAGCATACGTTTGATATAAAATAGGAAATTAGCTCTGCCTATAATTCATTTTTAAATTTTCAGCTGATTTCATAATCTGCTTTAAATATAAAAATGAACTCTAAGCACAGTAAACACATTTTTTTTTAATTTAACGTAAATATTATCGATATATAAAATATTCATATTTTTTTTAAAACTTAAATGAAAAACTAAGGCTTACTTCAATTTGTTGAGTACTGACTTTTTAAATATATTTTTGAGAGTAAATGACGATTTTAGTTTATGGAATTACATTAATCTTTAGATTTAAATTAGTTAAACTAGTCCTGAAAATGTAATTTGCTTCTTTTAAGACCCTAAATTAATTTTACATTCTGGTTTTTTAATTCATGTAATATTGCCACATGACTATTAATACGTTGAATAAAGATTTTGAGATTTTGTAAGATTCAATAATTTATTTTGAGATTTTGAAAGTTTCAATAATTTAGAAATTAGTGTAAACAGATCCTAACGAGTTTAATTTTCTTAACATAGTTTAATTAAAATAAATAATTTGGTATCTGAAATTTGGTTTGAGTCGTTTTAGTAAGTGACTGCAGAGTGCAGAGTGCAGAGTGCACTGCATCACTATGGCGTTGGCCTTTCCATTCCTTCTTACTTCCATTCCCATCCATCTTCTTCTCCTTCTTCACGCTTCGCTTTCTGTTTCTGCCCAACCAATCCACCACGAAATCAACCAAATCAACCTCAAAATCTCTCACCTAGGTCATTTTCATTCGACTTCTACTTCATCTTATCTGCAACACTATGTGCCTTATATATGCTTCTGTTATGCATATCGATGTCGATTTTTTGCGTTTCATTTGGAGGAATAATTTCAATGCAGAATCCGTTCTTGAAGAAAGCAATACAAGATTAAAGGAAAGGGATATGTACCTGGAGGAGTGTGATAAGCGAATGAATGGATTGTCCGAACAAATTCACCATCTGGAATCTACTCTCTCTACAATGAAGGTTTGTCTTCCACTCTCTAGAATAGTGGGAAAAGAGCAAAGCATTCATTTTCTTAGAAGTAGATGATAGATCTTTTGATGGACCTTCTTATTCACTTAATTTGACCTTATTCATCCAATTTATGTCACCAAGGCAAGTTCCTGTTAGATCTTTATTTTGATAGTTTATTAATTATTTTGGTCGGATAATCGAAAATATATGATTAAAAGTGTTCATCATATTGATGCCTCCTTACTTTTATTTTTATTTTTTATATTTGAAAACCGTGTGTTGTTCTTCTTGCATGCTGCTTCATTGCATGTCGAGAGAAAGTACGAAGCTCTGGAGGAAGAGGTAGTTTCCCCCAACCCAAGGCTCCCTGGATCTAGTACCGGGCTCCCTCCCCACCTCCCTCTTAATTCTCTTGGTTGTTCATATAATATAGCAGCAAATAATTTATAGCATTTTGTGTTTGGATTTAATTGAAAGGTTGACTGATTTGAGAAATAGAATTGACAATCCATAGGTACAACTTCTTTGGCATACCTTGAGAATGAACAACTTGGATCTTCATATTTTGAAATCTAAAGCACAAGAAACCGAGGAAAGACTGGAGGAGGTTACTTCAAGACTTGAAAACGTTTGTGCATTGCCTATGCTATCATTTATTATCATTATTTATATTGTTCTAATTTTATTTTATTTAATGTATGATTTGTCCTATTTTACACCTTCTGGTTTTAGTAGTGTAGAACTTTACGGTCCATTCAGTGAGACTTCTTTCTTGTGCATATAAAGAAAATGCATACATATAGCCATTGAATTTTGCACAAACAACAATGACTGTAGAGTGAGGATGCCTGGAAAGGGCCTTTAGTATTGAGGGCAACTGCAAATATTCTACAGAGGAAGTCATTTTTTTCTGAAATACTTGATCATTCATTATTGTAAAATATTATTGTCAATGCTCCAAAATAAATTGGTTTCATAGACTTGTGCATTGTCTTATTTTCTCAAAGGGAAATTATGTTGCATATTGTTAATTCTCTGTTCTTTAGGTAGGAATTGTCAAGCTCAAGGTAATGATGACTAAAAGGGAAAATAGTGGTTTGAGCTTAAATTAACTATATGATATAGTGTAAATTTAGTTGTTAACTTTACCTTTTCTATTCAACTACCAAGTAGTAAGCTCTTTAGTATGGGCATTATGGCCCAACCTCAATGGGGCAGGGGTTTGGATGATATACCTCATAGAAATAGGAGACAACTAAGAAAGCTAGTTACTTGCTATCAGTTAGAGTTGGATGACTCAGATAGTTACTGGAGGTTGGGCTGTTTAATAGGTGACTCACTGTCTTAAAGTTGGATTCATTTTCTGATAATTGAATGACAGAACCATCTTTGGTTGTAAGGGGAAATCCTTGGGGAGACTCTCTTTTATTTGTAAAACTCTAACCATTCTACCAGTTCTCTACTCTTTTTCTATATAATCCTTATATCTGGGATCCTAACACCGAACAGTCTAGTACTGGTCGGCATGACATATTAAAGGTATAATTAGTCTTTGGCACGAAAGCCAGTTTCGGAATACATATAATCAATTCTAATTCAGAGTATAATATATTGTGGTGACAGAGAGTTCAGCTTAATACCATACTCATTATGAATTTGCTTACATCATTTGCAATTTAACATTTTCCTACACATCAATGAGGCTTGGTTGAGATAGATAGATCCTGGCATTAGTTGATGTTATTCACCCTTTCCATTTCAGATGGGTGCCATTGTGAATGAACAGTGGATTGAAGTTCAACATCTTGAACAGGCTCTTCAAATTGCTAAAATATATACGGTTTATTTTCTAGTTCACATTAACAAGATTACATCATTTTATTTTTAGCTTTTCATTTATTTTCTATTTGCACACTTGTATGTGTTTGGGCAAAGGTGAGGACTCTAAAGGCTCAAAGGCTAAGAAGCGATACAAGATGCACATTCTTGAAGGTAAGTTTAACTGTTTTGAATAGCAAGTTTGGGTTCTTCAGACTAATCTTTTAATGTAAAGATTATAAAGTCTGCAATGCTATTAAGTACTATTGTCCAGTGTGACATTTCTTGGTTAAAGATATGTGAGGAATTGCTAAAGCTTCCTAGCAATAAGCACATTTATCTATTCTAGTGGTCATCATTTCTTATCTCCCTTTCTGTATCATTGTTTGTTCCGTAGTTTTTCAACATCCTTCTTGATGATCTTTGGGCACTTGATTCATATTTATTTGGCGAAAGGACTGCAGTCAGTGCACTCATCTCACAGGCTATAGATAAGTTGAAGAGAGGCTCCTCACTGACCAAAAAGTATCACCATCAGGTCTGCATGGAAACATATATAAGCTTTTAGTTAATAACATTTGATAAATATTTTGAATTTGTGTATGAAAATGGTTTTTATTCTCTTATGAGGATCAGAAATACATTCTCCATAAAACTTCATATTTGAAGCTTTGTGATGTCAAGTGGTTTCTCATATTACTATTCCAGCTTCGTGCAGTCTGAATTTCAAATTTTTGAACTTCAATTTTTTTTGCAATGTGTGTTTGTTGGGGATACTGTGAAGCCTGCTGAGATTTTATTGTCTAGCATTTTAAGGCTTTCCTCTTTCAAGAAATTAAATATCTAAGCCGCTGCAAATTTTTAACATATGTGTAGCTTCAAAGTTTCATCAAAGATCAGAAGGAGAGAAATGAATTGACTGCATCTCTTGCCAATGAAGAATTAGTCTTCTTCCTTGTATGCTTAAAGATTTCAGTTTACTTATCTAATACAAAACTTAGATTTGTGAATTCAAGGATTTTAGAAGTTCTTTACAACGTGTGCAATTCTTTGACCGTATTTACATGTTTTCAGGCTTCTGCTTTAATCATCTTTCCAGTAATGAGTGCTTGGATGTTGCTCTCTTCGTAATCGCCAGGCAGGCAAGGTTTTTCTTTTTAACTGAACAGGAATATTGCTTCCTACAGCGGCAACTAAACTTTCTTCTGACACTTGTGTCCTTCTACGATGTTACTCGGCGATGGTGGATTAATGTAGTTTTGATCTTTTATCAGTGTATGGTTGCAAATAGCCGAGATTAGTAGCATTTCATGCAACTTACATATCCATCTGGAAAGTAAATCTGTAGAGATGGATTACTCGTGTTTCAAAGTACAACGAGTAGAGAAAAAATCCATGTCAAATCAACAGATGTTGCAGAAGTTAAAATCAATAGCTTTAGTTCCGCGGTTTAGATTTTTTTGCATTACGTTAGATTTTTATTTATTTTTTAATTATGCTGAAATACCAAATATTATAATTTTATGTAATTTTTCACATAATTGATTTTATGTTGAAGAATTTCTTCTGAATTGAAACAACTTTACTTAATTTTTATATTAGATAAATTTTTTTTATTGAATTTCATTATTAATTTGTCTTTGTAATAAAGACATTCATATATATAAATTACATTACTTCAATTTTAATAATTATACAATGTTATTGAAATATCTTTTCTAATATCATTTTCTCTCTTTCTTTACATTATGTAAGTATTAAAATTTATCAATATTATAATTCTTGTGTGAAAAAACTGGTTCAAAACCAAAATTTATATAAACTAAATACATTTTAAGATTGACTTCACATCTTAAGATATGCTAAATGCATTTCTTACAAGATTGACTTTAAACCAAGCACATAGAAATAAGTTCATCTTCGGTTTTACTATTTTTTGTTCGACAAGTTTTACTATTTTTCAAAATCCATTTTTATTAACTTTTTAAAGTTTAAATTTAAAGGATAGCATGTATCTCATGTAAGCAGAACCATCACTTGTGTAATGAACTAAGTTTAACACAAAAACAATTAAGTGTTCCTTAATAAGAATTAGAGATTAATTTATCTGAACACACGCTTAAATAATATAATTATTTATTCCTACCACACCATATGCTTTTATTAAAGACTAATGTGATTAAAAAATAAAACAAGGACTTTTTGTTTTTCAGTGTGGCGAATAATACTAGAACATGTGTAGTGTATTGTTAAGGTTGGGGACAATAACGGAGCTAAACTTTTTTTTTTTTTTCAGTTTATCATGGAATTTTAATCGGAAAAAAAAAAAAAAAACTTATCTGATCTTAGCCTCCTTCACCTTCATCCTCAACTTGTGTGAACCAATTTCCTCCACGAGCAGGGCCATGGAAGAAGCATCATGGGAGCAGAGACTGCAAGCCTTAACGCACATCCTAACGAGCCCCACAACCACCCCATCTCTCCACTCTCAATTCTTCATCGCCACCCAAATCCCCTGCTACCTCAACTGGGACTATCCTCCCTTCCTCTGCTCCAACCCCAACCTTCTCAGAACATGGCTCCGCTCATTCTTCCTCAAAAGGGTCTTCGGAACTGCACCTCCTCAAACCTCTTGGAGATCTAAGTGCCCCTTCCACCAACCCCCACCCTTGATTCTCGCAGGCGGAGTCGAGGAACCGCACTGGGGACCCCAACAAAGAAGAGCTTACGTTAGGAAGAGAATGGCCAGGAAACTTCGCAAAAATGTTAACCCCGTTCCACACATTGTAATACCAAATCTTTTGTTGTTGTCGCTTATGATTTGGAACCCCTTTCAATCTCCAGATTGATTCACCCACCTTTCATCTTAAGAAAAAAATAAAAAAATAAAAAAAATTGATTTTATTTTTTGGCCCAATCCATGGGAAGAATGCCCTTCATTTAACCTACTTATTCTCTTTAAAAAGAGAAGGAATAGTAACGAGCGGCTTCCACTCTTCCTCAATCCCTCTTTTTCCCCGCGTAGCAACCCCTACTCTCCCTGCACCTTCATTTCCTCTTTCCCCTTTCAGCCTTATCGCGCCACCCGCACCTTGCCAATCACCTCCAACCACTGCCAGCACCACTCCAGCTCCCTTCTCAACCCTTCACTGGAGCCCGCGCAGCCCCTACTCAACTCCGGCCGCAGCTCCTCCACTGCGACTCGCAACACCACCAAACGGCCACCACGAGCCCCCCCACAGTCGCTCCCCCAAATCGCCGGGCCATCACCACGGCCATTCCCATCTCCAGCCCCTCTCATCTTCCCCACCACAAATCACCATAGCTCCTCCATCTCACCCTAGCTAACCGCCACCACCGCACCAGCCCTAGCCGCTTCCGCGACCGCCTTCATCCCCAAAGTCCTTTCTCCTTCCCCTCCGCTGCCACCTCAATCGCGCCACCGCGAACTATCCCTCGGCAACCCCACAGCGAGCGCGCCCCCCGCCAGTCTGAAACCGTCCGAGTCTGAAACCTACCTAAAAACAGAGACCAAACAAAAAAATCCAGAAAGCCAAAACCCTTCCTGATTCTTCACGATGTCCGCCGCCAGGTGTTTGCTGCGCTCCGCCGCCTCTCGCGCTGTCGGTGCGGCCAATCTAGCAGCTGGAGCTAGACCGAGACCGGCACGATCTCCGTTTCCTCTCCCAAAGCAAACCTCTATCTCCAATCGCGTTTTCAGGTAAGGCGGTTCCTCTCAATTGCATTTTCCGAAACATTTTCAATTTGATTAAAACATTCTTTTGTTTGGGACAGGTTACCCGTCGAAGCGAGTTTCTGCGTGGAATCGATGCTTCCTTATCACAGTGCTACTGCTTCCGCACTACTGAATTCGATGCTCTCTGTGTCTCGCCACTCTTACGGTTGGACCCCTGAAGGTATTCCCTCTAAACACTTTGTTAAAAGTTTATAAAATGCCAACATTGGATTCTGAAATGAATTAAATGTACGTAATGTTATTGTAACTTATTAGACCTACTTGTTGTCTGAAAACATACTAAACCTTTTCCTCGGAATATGAGTTCTAAATTTTTTTTTCTTTTCTTTATTTGATGGATTGTTAGCTGAACTCTACGGATTACGGATTACGGATTATAAAGATTGTGGCGAAAAAGTCTAACGCGTTACTTTCATTATCACGCAATGTCACAGGGAAACATTTTTTTCTTATTTATTTGGTTGCACAAAAATAGGATGTAATTCTTTTACTAAATAAAAAATGTTTTCTTGTCTTCTTTTTCCTTTTTTGTGGACGGGAAGGTTTGTGTGAACAAAATTTTTAAATGAAAGTAGTTTTGGGTGCATATGCGTATCTATTGTTGTTCAAACATTTTATTGTTTTGGGGTTAGGTTCTCTCTTGCTCTCACAATGAAAGGATGTATACGTTTTCCTCTTTGTAGGGCAAGAGAAGACTAGATGAAGATCAAGTATCAAAGATGGTGTTACACACATGGACTTGTTTCAAATTTTGGGTGATTTTGAAGCATTGAGAACTTGACTTCCTAGATTAGGGAGAGCATGAAATGTCTAAGTTGAGTGTAAAAATGAATGGGGTTATGGTGCTATTCAATGGTATTTGTTAGTAGTTCCCTAATTATTATATTTAATTTATCTGCAACGACTTCTCGGTAACAAAGAACTTTCACTTTGAGTTATTGAGCAGTTCTCTCTCGTTCTCTTAAAAGAAGTGTTATGGATTGTCGTATTTAGTGCATCCCATTTTCTTAAATGCCTAGACTTATATTAGTTAACATTCACTTAAGAGATAATCACAAAAAGATCATACTGATTGATTGTATTCACTCAGATTGCAATGATGATGTATGATGAATGACAGAGGGTTCGAGGAAAGTTTTATGTAGATGCGCTTGAAAAAAGGTGGTCAAGTAAATTTTTTCTTTTGGGATTTTTAATTGTTATTGTACACCTTAATGTCAAACAAGCATTTGCTGAAAGTATGTAAATGAATGCGAATGATTTTGTTGGTGGATGAAATTTAATACCATCCATTAACCACACTTGTGCAAATTATCACACTCGTTAAGACTACAGAGAATTTGAAATTAACATCAATGCAGAATGTCAGCTATTTCTTATTTAGTTTGCTGGTGCAAGAAACCATTATTACGATGCTAAATGCAATTTCAGAATTGTAGTTCTTGTTGACTTGGGCACTGTTCTTTATTTTGACTTGGCTGTTTTCTTGTTTAGGGTCGTGATCATTTGCACTTGGGCTTTTAGGCTTGAGGACCAGCCATGTAATGTTTCGTCATTTCCCTTACCTCCACCGATTTATGTCTTGTATCTAACTGATTTGCATTTTAAAATTTACTAGCATAGATCAGTATGACTATTAAATTATATTGACCTTTTGATTCTGATTTTGTATGGTAGTATATAAATTTAAGTTTTCTCAAAATTATTGTCTTTTTTAATTCTAGATGGATGATTGTTGTCTTTGGGTGTGGTGCATCTGTGCATACTTTCCATGGATTTCAGTTTACTTTGTTAGGCCTGTTTAGAGAATTTTTGTCCTTGGTTGAATATCAAAACCTCCAAGCATCCAGAGTTGGTACCATGCTTAGGTGTGATTACTCTTTAGAATATTATTGCAGCATTACTTTACCTGCGATGGACGATGATTTAATTTACCCTTTAATTGGAAATGGGAATTTTAATCCGTGTTAGCAAACCTTACCATCACACTTATTTTCAAATGAAAATACTGAAAGTTAAATTAATTAGTGAGGTCTACATAGATTAAAAAAGAAAATGTTATAAAAAGGTGTTCTATAATATTCACACCTGGATCATATTTACATTTTATTAAAATACAATATATTAAAAAAAGTGTTTTTTCCATCTATAAACAGAAATTTTAGATTGACAACTGCTACCGTTTTTATTAATTTTATAATAATAAAAATTTATATTTTCATGTTTGTTATTATTTTATTATTAAAGAGTTATTGACTGGATATTTAAAAAGAATCAAGGTATTTATTTATATATCACTTCTCAACTATAAAATCACAAACATTATTCTAACTTCAAAATTTGCTGTACAGATTTTTTAATTAGATTATAACATTTTAATAAAAAAATTCTGTCCAAAAAATATTGATTTCACCGTGACTAAACAGTTCACATTGAATAGATAATACTACACTTTTTTTTTCATAAAACTTAAGTTATTTCATACTTTTCAAAAATAAATTTAGTTTATCATATACACTTTTCAAAAAAATCAATAAATGTTAATTATTAAATAATATAACTGTCAACGTCAGTCCGATAAATATAAAAAATATTAAAAGAAAAATAAATAATAATAAATGACAACGTTTATTTTAGAAAACATAAAAAAAAAGTTGAAAATAGAAAATGAAAAATATAGTAATTCCTTTTTAATTTTTTTTTAAATAAAAGAGAAAAGAATATGAAAAAAATGATTAAAAAATAAAAAAATTCTATTTTTCCTCGTACTTTACTTTTAAAATAATATATATATATATATATATATATATATATATATATATATATATGATTGAAAAAATATTTTCTTACTAACATTTTACACTTTTAAAAAAATAATAAAAATTTCTTTTATTAATCGTTTCCATTTCCTAAATAAAATAAAAGATATATATAATAATTACTTTTATTTGTCTATAAATATCTTATTTATGTAAAACCTAGAGGAAATTGAGTCAAATTCCAAATATTCAGCAGTTTATAAACTAATAAAATCGTTTTTATATAAAAAACTTATACTGCCCTTAATTCCTTGCCATGAATAAAAAGTTGCATTACCAGCAATAATTGCAGATACTTTTCAAGGTTTTATACCTAAATTCATCCAAGGAAAAACTTAATATAAATAATTTTCTATCGCTAATTTTAGTTTTTGGCTACCTGTAAAATAGAAGAAAGATAAAAAGAAACGCAATTTGAAAGAAATGAATCCATGCTATGTTTGCTCGTTAAGGGCACAAACCCAACAAACATACTGTGCATTAATCTAATTCTCCAAAGGGTGTTAACAATACAAAGAAAACTAGTGTATAAAGTTGAGGTTAATACAGAAAATACAAAGGCTGTAAGTTCAAAACCGTAAGCTTAGAATAGCAAGGTATAAATGACAAAACAAATAACGCTTAGAACTAATGAAAATTGTGACCGTGTCCATGATCACTTCCCTTCCGCATTTTCGGCATTGGCTGCAGGATCTGCAATGGCGTTACCTGCTTCCGACTTGGTTGTTTCATCAATCCTCCTACCAGAATCATCGTCTAATTCATCATCCATCATGTCATCCTCTCCCACATTTATATCTTCCACATCATCATCTTCTTCATTATTGTTTCCATCTGGGATCTTTCTTTTCTTGGGACCATGCTCCAGCCTATGAGTATCCAACTCTTTGTCCATAGTCTCCTGTAAATTCTGGTCATTGTTTACTTTTCTTGCGTTCCTTGCATTTTGCCATCTCTCTAATTCCTTCTCAATATTGGCAAGATACTGTTCCCCAATCTGTTTCTGATACTCAGACACTTCCTCTCTTCTTGCATTCTTCCATTCTAGGAAAGCCTGCAAATTGAAAAAGATATAGATATTACCAAGAAAAATAAGATATGTTTTAAAATGCCATAATCCTGAATCTAGTGAGCATGCACTCGTAATCACCCATTTAACAACCAAAACTAACATTAATATTTGAGATTTAACAGGCTAATCCTGGTTTCTTGTCCATAGTGTTCAAAGGATGCTTTAAGATGAAGACCAACAGAAAACGTATGTCTAAATTTGACAACCTCTTCTTTGCGCTTCTCAAGTGATGTGGGATCTTCATCCAAGGGCTTGTTAGGCAAATAGTAGATTGGAGGTTCTGTTTTAGTCCTGCAAAAATACATACAATAATCAATCAAGGAAGTACCAAAAAGTTCAAAGAAAATTTTTCCCATGTCTACCTAAACTCCTGCAATTAGCAGGAAACATCTAGTCATCAAGTTGAGTCAACACTACAATGCACATGAATAGAAACTTATCTTCGTCTGAATAAAATGTGAATATGGACACTTTTGGACCAAAATTAAAAATAACCTGCAGAGTATAGCATGATTTGAGGTCAGATAAAATTAGACGACCAGTTGTTGGAATGTACTAGATATAGGACTCATGCCTCATAGGTTTACAGTTGAAAAGGGCAAACCTTATAAAATTGCTTAGTCTTTTATGATGCTCACTCCATCGAAGAAACAGCAACTCCAATTTCTTTTCTTCTGTCTTAGCAGCCACTCGAGCCCTAAGAGTCTGATGAGAATAGGGGAAACAATATAATTGTTAATGAGGACCAAAATGGAACCTTGTTGTCTATTATGAATAGCAAAGAATAGTTATTGTTGAAAGCCAACCAAGTCTCTCCTTCGTTTTTCAGCAATCTGTTCCCGCTCTTCTTTCCTAAGCCTTTCACTTTCTTCACGTGCCCTTTGCTCAGCCTAGGAAATAATTTCAAGGTATTTGAGATTATTGTGAAGCTTTGGATGCTAATAAATGTAAGAGAAGAAAAAGTGGCAAGAAAATTCAGTGCTTGACATGTAGTTGCTCAAAGAACTTGCAATGAAGTCATCATAACAGATATATTGCATTGAAAATCCTTTATCAAATTATAAAATGGCATTTTGCACCCTAATCTAGTCACCAGTTCAATAGTGTTAATTTTAGCCGTGTCAAACCAAATTGGCACTTAATCAATAACTCTGGCTACCTTTACAGGGTACATATCACAGTCACATGATTGCCATTAAAAGAAGTAGCCTTTTTGGGAATTTGAACCATATAAAACTTGTCCGTTCAATTGACAAGATGTATAATCCCAACAGCTAGTAATCTGAATATCATTTATTATCATTAACAACTAACTTTAATGGCAAATTTGGTTAGGCTCGGTGACATATTGATATAGTGTCAATAGATTAGGCAGATAAACTGCAATTAAGTCGAATAACCTGAGGTGGCCAAGGGAAATATCCCCTGACATTAATTTTATGCATATTGACAGAAAAAAAGAGAAACATGAATAGAATGCCTTGTTTTAAAATTTACTTACATATGATCACACCTAGATATGCTGTGGCTATCCATGCAAGAGGATGACTTAATAAAAGATGAATAGGTATTCTATGCTTTTATAATAACACATTAACATAACACAGTAACACACTTAGATATGCCACGGCTATCAATGAAAGGGGATGGCTTAATAAGATGAAAATGTATTCCATGCTTTATAGTAACAAGTCCCAGCAGACATAGCATAATAAACTCTACCTATTATGAACATTCAAAATGAGTATTTCTAGTATACACAAAAAGATCTAAAATAATTCATTCAGTAAAATGTTTCAGAAAGTTTATTATAAAAGATAACAAATCATATTGATATTAACAAAGATAATAGCCACAATTTATCCAGATGTATAATTCACAATTATACATAACCTTATTATAAACAAGATGGACTCACTGAATTTTTTTCAAGGACGTGTATTATATTTAAAGACAGTGGTAGCTATAGGTACTGCATCTGCACATGACAACAATGGACATGAACTTACTCTTTGCAATGAATTAGATCTTCGCATATATGCCTCTGTTCCGGAGAGATGCATGTCTTCCTTTCTGAATTTCTGTAACAGTTCAGAATAAAAAACATGTAAAAACAGGAAAAAAAAAAATAATAGGAACAAATGGAGTGATGAAACCTGCCTACATGTGGGAAAAACACTTATAAGAACGTTAAAAATGTGAGACAGAAAATTCAATATCGAGAGCATTTATTGAAAGAAAGAGGTGTGCGCGAGAATTTAAATGGGCACTATAAACAAACTACGGAATAGAGCGTATAGAATATAGCACTACAGAGATGACCTGAAACCAAGCAACAAATTTAACACACCTCTAGAGTTCCCAAAAGCTGGCCCAACATTCTTTTGTTCCTATTAACCAAACTGGGATCCTCATTTTTTGGCAATACCCTCGGAACATGTTCCGTAGGAGGAATGTCAGAAGCCTGACATGGACAACAGGCTAAAGTGTTAGATAAACAACTTTAACCAACAATCAACAGGAATGTAATGCATTTTTATTTACCACCTTGGAAGTTTTTTGATTGCTCTCTCTCTTAGACCATCCACTTTGGTGAGAATTGAAAAGGTTCCTATCACTCTGGACGACAGCAC